GACTCTACCTCTTAAAGAGGAATTGCTGCTCGGCATAATTATCCTGTATATAAAATACTTATTAAAAATGTGTTTGTAAACAACAATATTTTGTTAACCTAAAAACATTTTGCAGGTCTCAGCCGAAAGCACAGGAAGCGATTACTTGCGAAATCTCGTGCCGGACTCAGTATAATGGAGGATATTCCTGACATACAGACGGATGAGAATGTAAGATATTTATTATTATTAATTGCAAATACGGGTTGGATTATATTATCTATGTAATACTGAGTCGAGTGTTTCTATGGTAGATAAATTTTTACCTTTTGCCAATATCTTAAGAATTTACTATAACTATTTTTATGAGAATTAAGAAAGGGATATTCAATTTATCGAAACTTATTTATTTCAGAAGGAAGAAAAAGAATCTACAAAACCCGAAGACAAAGTTAAAAGTAGAAAACGGAAAAATAAAGATGCCGCGGCGAAGCCGGATAAAAAGCCTAAGCTTGAACTTAAAGACGTTAAAAAGGAAACGAATAAAAAAGTTAATAAAAAAAATAAGGAAAATGAACTGGTAGATAAGTCCAAAAGTAAAGTTAAAACAAACAAGAAAGACAATGTTCTTGTAAATAAAAAAGAAAACAAGAATAAAAGTAACGAGAAAACAAAAGCAGAATCGAAAAATGACGTAAAATCAGATAAAAAGCAGCCAGTGGCCAAAACCGAGAAAAAAGAGAAGAAACTAAATAAGAAAGAAGAGAAAATACCAGTAAAAACTAAAAGTTTTGCAAAAGCAGAGAAAAAAGTTAATGTTGAAACACCTAAAAAGGTTAAATTTGTTTTAAAAAACAATTGTATGCAAGGGACTGTTGATTATTACAAAAGTATCAGACAAAGTCCTAGTATTCCGTTTGACAGTAGCAAAAAACCGGCAAAAACCAACCTAAAACCGTCAACGCCGTCACCTATTAATCCGTTTTTTAAGAAAAAACTTAGGTTAAAGTAATTTAGTGTTTTTACGTTATTTTCTTAATGTACTAATTGAAGTGAAGGCAATTAATTAATTGCTCAAGGAATAACTGTACAAATTAGTGAATTATCTAAATGTTATTATTTCCATAAGGAATGTTTTTTTAATAATGTGTCTTGTTTACTTGTTGTAAACCAGTAGTACCAATAAATAATGATAAATATGTTTGTGTTTAATATACTTATCATTTTTACCTTTCCTTTAATTTTGTAAACATCTGCGAAAATAATAAGGGATAAAAATAAAACAACAAAATTTATAACTGTGTATATAATATGAATATTTTCTACTCCATTCGCGTAATTTATATTTACAACTATACTCATTTTTACAAATGGTCACATCAAAATCGACCATAGACTGCAACTGGGCCACTTATAAAACTCCAATATAAAAACTACTTACGCAACTAAAATAAAAATTATCATTTGTCCATGCTCAATATAAAAATAAAACCTGTGTTATAGTCTATGGTCTGTTCTGTCATATAGCCAAGCGCGAGTCGACCGTTTAATTTATTAATAGACAAGAAACCCAATAGAGCAAATGATTTTTTTACAAAATACTGTAGCTCTCATCAGAAAATATTATATCGCATTCTACTGACATGAAGATACATATTAATTGAGAGCTATTCAAAAAGATCCATACAACATACGAATAACATCGAATATTTGTTTAATATATGCTTATTTAGAGGAAGTAAATATTCCCTATTGGTTTCTTTTTCTATTGGACTACGGTCGAATTAAGCTTACAAAAAGTTCCTACTGCCATCTCGTGGGCTAAATTTAAAACTACGATGGCATTTTTCTAAGAAAAGCTTTATGTACATTTTTGTACAGCACGAACTAACATAATATTATACATTGATTAACTTACATCGACGATTGCTACATTAAACACTTTATCCAAAAGTGGGGCATGGGGTGTAAGGGAGCTCCCTAAAGTGTTAAGGTTTGACTGTAAATGTGAATTATTTATTTTTCTTAGCATCAATTGTGAATTATGACAAAAAAAATGTGTGCGTGTACTAGGTGTACACACGTAAGAAGTGAAACTTCTTTATGACCTTATTAGAAACTATTTCTTTAAACACAGTAAATTTTGATACACTGCATAGCATACAATTTACAAATTAATTGCTGCAAATTGCGATTAGCAAATTTCAAGTCGAAAATGTAATCCGTTGTCAAACTTCAAAGTCAAAAACATACTATATGTCATATTTTAACGCCGATAAAGAAGTTTGACTTCAAAAAGCAACATGGCGCGTAACGGAAAAATGTGACGCGTAACGCAAAAATTTTACACTAAATTTTTTTCCAACCCCGATAAAGAAGTTTCACTTCAAAAATTATGAAACTTACATTATAAATGCAAAAATTGTCTTTATTGTTCAATCAATGAGATTAAAATTCAATATACATTTTTAATCAAAATTTAGATAAAACTATACCCAATAAATAACAAATAAATAAAACACATTTACTAAAACTAAACACCGGTTATCACAAAATAGTAAGGCCAGCCTTAATTTCATTACTAAACATATTTTTTCCGTTTTCCGTTTCCGTTTGATCTCCGACGTCGCAATATAAGAAACACAATTAAAACGACCAACGTACTTTTCACGCTACAACTTCGTCTACTTTGCTATATTTTATTTTATCTTTATACATACACCATTCAAAGATAACCTAATTAATTTTGTTTGTTCCATGACTGATGTATTTGTAAAAATTAATAAAGAAATATAAAGGCTGGCCTGTCAAGTTGGAGCAATGACAATCTAACAATAAGCACTTTCCACTAATATTCTTACATTTAATAATAAATTATGTATTATGCATCTAAATTCAATTTTAATCCCTTGTTAAGGCCTACCGCTTAGAAATTTTGTAAGAGTAGCCCAAACATTGTCTTGACCTCAAAATTTCATGAATATATTGTCCTGTCCAGTGCTATAGAGATGCAATCGATAATATTGTTTTCTCTTTCTAACGTAAAAAAAGAGAAAGGGACGGCTACATTGCAAGATTGACCAATGGGTTAACGCATTATTCTATATTATTAATACATTTATTACGTGAATTTTAAAAGGCTGTGTAGGAACAACTCAAGTGGCATCAGGTCAGGAATATAACTGATGTCTTTATTTAGCCGGTCGGAAGTATTTTATATTACTTTCGAAGGAAATTGTCAAAATAAATAGATAAAAAAACCTTTAACTAACATAGATAATTCAAAACCAGTGCACTCTCTAACTTCATGCAGTTCGTGCAATTGTAATAATAATAGCGATCCGACTTCAAGATTTATATGCATTATTTCGATTATGTTGGGATATCACTATTCGGAGTGACAGAGTACCGATGCTGACCAGTCATGGAGCAAAAAACTCGAATGGAATTTGATGTTTGTGTTATAAAAATAAGGTTCCCCAGAAATGTAACACATTTTAAGTTTCAATTTTTTTTACTTTCTTCCCAATTTCATTTTCTAATCGTAAAACAAAAAATATTAAGCCGTACAGTATCGATATAGAAAGTTATGCGCAGATGTTGAGAAAACGGAACGGTTTCCAAAAATCCATAAACTAAAGAAGAATATTTCGTATGGGAAGTGTAGGCATTTAAAAGAGTACTTTTTATCTTGCATTCAATTGCTAACTGTTCAAGACTTTATTTAAGGAATTCATTCGCTCATGAGCCATTTTAAGTGCATCTTAGCTGATAAACGAATTAATTAGTTATTTAATTTCTCAAATCAGAAAAAAATTATAATTACAAAATATAGAGTTTAGAAGTAATTATTAGTCAGCCTATCAAATAAAACAATTTATTGATTTCATTTTAATCACCGCTTTTCAACCACGAGCGAATGTTTTGTTATTTCCTATTGATAAAAAACTTAAATAAAAAAATGGAAGCGCTTTCATATTTTGTACATATTGTAAAACTAATACTTGTATATTGTGTGCCCTCTACGTACATAAAAGTCAATTTTTTTTAATAATACAATGTGCTATAGGTAATATACCCTTGTAAATTTTTGTGTGTATATATTTGTATTATTGAGTCTGTATTTTTATGTATGTAGCTGACACAATTTTCTGCTTAAGACAATGCGGATTTGTACATTCTAAATCTACCATTACCTATATGTAAATCTACACATTTGTCAAGTTTCGTCGATATTCATAGGAACGAGTCATTTACCGGATATAAATAATTATTTACAAATGATTGTGATGTCATTATTATGTCAAATTCTGGCAAGTTAACTTAGTTAGGCTAATTCCATTCAAAACACGTGACGACATTCGACTGTAGTATTTCTGTCAAACTTTATGAAGTATTTTAATTATTTACTTAATAATAAATACAATGAATTAAAAAATACAAGTCGAATTGTAAACCTTCAGGCATTTTTGTAGTCGGTTATATGGTATTATTAAAGTTAAATTTATATTACGCGACCTTTTATATTTTTTTTAATCTGTACAAGTTTTTGCCTTCACATAGACTACTGCAATTACACACACAAACTATATTGCTTAAAACTTGACTCTACTCTACTGTAAAATGACAGACGTATGACAGATGACTCTATTTACGAGTCGCACAACTATCAAAGCAAGTAAGGTCCATATTCTAATCAAGCCAGTCGCAATCTCGTCTGGAGAGCTGTCAGATGTCAAACAGAAGAAAACAGTTTGACAGCTCTTCAATCTATGTTCTGTTAAACTGGCGTTTTAGAATACAGAAGAAACCCTTGTTTTAGGTACAACACGATCCAAAGATCCTTTTCGCCTTATATTATAGTAGATAACAACTAAAAGTACCTAGAATTTTTGAACACTATACTAAAACCGCTATCACATAAAAATCAGCATTGCCTACACACCTTTTATTATTTTTCTATACTGTATTGCCATATCTCCGTTCCTTTTACGTCCAGTCTTGATATTTGTGGAAAAGGGCTAGGTGCGAGGCGCCACGGCCGGCGGTGGAGGTTTCGGTGGAAGTCTGGGGGCAAGCCTGAAAATATTTATACTATAAATGTAGCAACAAATTTCTCTTAAGAAATCGCGAGAATGTCGAGGCTGTTCAATCGTTCGACACCACGGGCCTAGTGAGAAGATTAAAAAGGAGTGCAAAAATAGAACACAAAAACAAAATGTGTTCCTCTTAATAGAGTTAGTAAAAGAGCATAGAACGAACACCAAGTGTCAAGAAATTCTTCGTTTTCCAAGCGTTTATTCTACAAACTGCTGCAACAACCATTACACTTCCACGTGAAATGGAAGGAAGCACACAAAGGTATACACACCGTACACCGAAGTATCCCACCTCACATTCCTAATATCACTTAATTCTTATTCGAATATAGGAATACATCCTGTATTGGATTGAGAATTCTTCTCTCTCGTCAAGAACAGGTTTCTTGCGTCGGCTAACTGTGCAGCGTCAATGTTTCAATTGGGTTGTGACGTTTTACGTACAATTTTAATGGTTATAATGTTATAGTGTATATGTCACTGGCCTTAGTATATAAGTTATTTATTAAATATGTTCGACGTCCTGGTGGACAGAAAAACTGTATCCAGTTTGTATTTCCACCACACCAACTTATTTTCTATTTAAGATCATGTATATAATAAATAAATAAATATAAATAAAAAAAGAATTCAGAGATAATTTGTAATTTTTAATTACCGCCTCGACTCTGTACCTAAGTAGTAATAAAGTATTTCTTAAAAGGAATTTATTGTTTAGCGTATTTTCGTAGAAACTGGCATCTTCAGAATGAACTGGAAATGAATCCAAACATAACTGAATGTTTGTTTTGCTTACTACTATTTAACTCAGCGAGTATTTAACGAAAATATTTTTAAGAATCATTATTAATACCCGTTTAGAATGCCAGTATTGAAATTATTTTGTCTTAGCCGTCAATTAATCCGCTAAATTGTATGTGATGGGGGAGGGTTTTTAAACTACGCGTTTTGTAACATTGTTTTTATTAATAATAAAGCGATTAAAACAATACGACACAACTTTTTTTTATGGAGGCAAACTGACAGGAGGCTTATCTGATGTTAAGTGACACCGCCGTCCATGGATACTCACATTGCCAGAAGAGTGCGTTGCCTGCCTTTAAAAGTTACGTCACGTCAAAGAAAAACGTTACGGCGCGTTACATGGGGTTTCAAAAAACTACAAAAAAAAGCGTTACGCAATACTTGAACGTTTCCATAAATTGCACTTTGAGTTTCATTCTAATACATACCCAGCGCTGTGATGTCTCCTTTGCAGTAGGGCGGAGCTCTGAGGCCTAAGCAGTTCTGGGGCGGGTGGTGGTCGAGGGGGCAAGGGGGGCGGGCTGTTGCCTGCCGCTGAAGGGGAACTGTCCTGCCAGGATCCCTAATAAAAAATCATTTATTCAGATTAAAAAGTCTGAGAAAAATAGATCAGAAATGATTTAACACTCCACATTAATAATTAAATTAGAAACATTTAAAAACAATTTAACGAGTATTTCTTTTCATTAAAAAGTTGCCTTTTTAAATAATTTTTTTTTATTCATGGGATTTAATGACATATCCTAATAATGCTTTTCATTCACTTTATTTCGGCTTGGAAATAGTGAAATTATCGTTTTTGAATAACTTTGACTTTCAAATCAAAATATTTCTTTATCTAGACTCCGAGAAGCATAAATTCGTATTAGTTAGACATAGACATAGACATAACATTTAGACATAACATTTTTTTTCATTTTTTTAGTTACACGATAAACAATAACTCACATGATGCAAAGTGGGCGTGGCGGCTGAGTCTCGTCTTCTCCGTGGAGGGAGAGGTGGCGGAGTCCCACACGAACTGGATTCGCCTTAAATTATAATCAACTTTTTAATAGATCATAACTTGAAACATTTAATATATTAAATAAATGTTATAAGGACCCGTTGAAGTATTACGTAAGAAGATTTACTGTTATTTATCCCCCCCCCCCGTTAGCAAAAGCAAAGTTCTCAAAAATAATAGTACAAAAACGTATTAATTTTTTGTAGGAATCCTCGAAAATGCATTTCGTTTTCAAGCATAGACAATGTGTGGGTAATATGTGTAAAAAAGTCACTAATCACCAAATAAGAATATCAAAGCCCCCCCCACACACATAGTGTTACGTAATACTTGAACGGCCCCTATTGTATGTCATTGCTATAAAGTAGATATTGTAAAATAAAAACTATTTAAATGAATAGAAAGGAGATTTAAATGCAAATAGCTTTGTCCAAAAACATTTTTAAAACTGTATCATTATACTACAGAAGTATTCTAATTTCATAGAAATAAAGTCCAAAGTATTTTTTTTCAATTTAGAGATATACTTACATGACTGCTGTAGTGATGATGGAGATGTGGCTGAAGGGAAACTGAACGTAGGAGGCCTGTAAAGATAGTTTGAGTTCAAAGTCAGAGTCTTATTTAAATAATATAGATATATACAGTCAAAACCATTTACGACGACATCGTTTAGAACAACATACCGGTTATATTGACAAAATCAAAGGTCCCTGCTGAATTCTATTGTATAAGGTTCTTAATAACAAAGTCATCGGCCGTTTTTTATACTATTGGTTTTTACAACAGATGTTGACTATATATGTATATACATCACACATACATATATATATTATATAACTGAGGCAAATAGGCCGGAGGCTTACCTGATGTTAAGTGATAACGCAACTCATGGACACTCACATTGCCGAAGGGCTCGCAAGTGCGTTACCGGCCTTTTAATAATTGGTACCCTCTTTTCTTGAAGGACCTTAAGTCGTATAGGTTTATAAATACATTGGTGGGCAGCTTTCGCATAGTAGTATATAATAATATATCAAGATTACCTATCTAAATGGAGCGGGCTCGCGTTAAGAAGGCCTGGAGGTGGAGGTGCGGGAGAACGTTTGGGAGACATCGCCGGACTTCTGCAATACATTTAAAAAACGTCAGATTCATAGTGCTTTTAAAGGTACTATTTTTAAGAATGTTATTGATATAGTTTTATTGCATTTAGAATTGAAAACAATTTCTTACCTAAATAACTCAGGATTTTTCGGACTGGGAAGTGGTTTATCAATATCCGGCGTATCTGATGTACCTGCTAAAAATAAAACACTCGGATGACAATCAAAATTTAAACTGAAGGTATTATTTTATAAAGTTTAAAACGTACAAAATATTTGTTATTACGTGTACGTTACGAGTTATTGTACGTGAATTTTTACGCACACATTATTAGAGATATCATATGTATGCGATACGGACGTATTTTACGTTTAATATTCATAAAATTCGTAGATCTACAAGCGTATATCTTTCTTATTAACTGATCATAATTTTAATAAAAGTTTATAAATCGCGAAAATATTATTTTTTACAAAACTCGACAAGGCCATCAACTAAGGACTGCTATCCCTAGAGAATCGAAAACATTTTTTTTTAGAGTAATTATTTTGTAAATCTTATTAGTTACATGTTTTATTGATTGTATAGTCAACACCAGGTTTTCGCGTGCTTTATGCAACTCATACTTGTACTGGAACCCTGGCAATCAACTGGCGCCGAACGTGACCAGATTAGAACCATATCTAATCTGGTCATGTTCGGGATGACATAAAAAAAGAGCATGACGTACAGACCCGAGCGGTAACACAAGTTCGGCTCTGTACATCTAGAGCAAACTACGTATATGGCGAGAGATCGTTGAGGTATTTGCTACCACGGCTAATGGTCTACCCAGTCAGTTATTAGATATCCTTACGTTAGCCAACATAAAAAGTAAATTAAAAACTCTTCTTATAGCCATTTGTCGCGCTCCTAAACAAGACTACTATGGTTACTTTTATACAAACCACAGCGGTTTTATAAAAATTTAAAAAAAAATGTTGTCGTAATAACGCCCTTCTGACGCATTTCGGTCTTTCATACTTATAATTCAAATTTAAATAAACTATTTTTCACGTTGAATGTCTTTCGCGCCATTTTAGCGACTCTGGATTTCTTTCTTACCCATACTAAGTATACTTTATCGTTTGCTCTTTTACCTATCCCGTCTTACCTATAGAATGCAAGTGGTGGTGAGGTGGTGGGGGCGGCGGTTCGTGGTCTGCCAGCGAAGTAGTGGAACTTAAGGCGCTGTGACGAGGTAGTAAGGGTGGGACTCGTTCCTGTGTGAATGAGCAAAAAGTTATAAATTAGTAGTGACTTTAAAGTTTCTTTCTTTTGAATTGTCACTCATTTATAATATTTAGACAATGCATGTCACATACACGAGAATGTAAGTGCTCCTATTTCACCATGCCTACTGTTGATAGAGGACAAATTTTTGTTTTTCATTTTTATTATTAATTAATTATTAATTACCTAAGATGTCATGTGGAACGTGGTGTAATGGTTGCAGCTCCTTACAAACATTTTGTAAAACAAAAAACTTGGCGATTAAAATGAGTGGCGGAGAGTTAATTGTCAGTTCTTCTCTCCCGTTCTACACCCTTTGATTTGGGAACTGGCAGTAAACGTAAAATTAGAAGCATTTAATATATATTTCTTTATTGACCTTCATAAGTGTACATTGTGTTGCCTAAATAATTAAATGATTTTGACTTTGACATTCGTAACTAAAATATAGAAAAATCTATTTATTTTTTATTAAGTATTATCTGGAATCATCACCTGTTCATTCCGCTTGCAAGCCAAGTGGTCCATACTTCGGGAGTAGAACAGTTCCGCGTCTACAATAGCCCCGCGAGGGGACAACGCCGCTCCCCTAGACCGAACAGTCCCCATACTCGATGTCATATTGGAGACACAACTTGTGCTGTTACATCTGTAAAAAAAAATCCTAAACTAAAACAGGCAAGAGTCTGTACGGAAAGAGAACTGGCGTGATAGTTGTGAATTATAGTCGACGCATTAAGAACTGAGGGTTCGGTTCATAAATCATATTTATGCCTGTCTCGCTCGCACTTACAGGTCTTAGGAGACGTGTAGTGATGAGCGTAAGAATTGTAAAGGTGCATATCGATAACGGGATAGGTACGATCTATATGCTAAATTATGTTAAGTATTAATAGGATAAACTTTTCGCTATCTGAATTTTTTCAGATATTATTTTTAAAATAGTTTTTAATTTGTAAGATAAAAATTGGGGGCCTCATAGCCTAGCGGTCTTATTAAGTGGCAGGTAGGTGAGGGGTACCGGGTTCGATTCCCGGTTCGAGGGCAAGTTTTAATTTAATTTAAATTTTTTCTGTGCTTAAACCGTACATGAAGGACACGGTCGAATTTCTAAAGACAAGCACGAATAATAAAAAAATCCTATACTTGACGCTGGCTAATGCATAAATCGTGCGAGAGCCATTATAAAAAAAAAGATAAAAATTAATAAAATATAATAAATAAATTTCTTCAAAACCACGTTAGAAAATAAATTCTTCTTTGATACTGTGACCTCAAATCCCATGATGGTTCACTTTCTACACTGTATCCAATAATCTTTGGTATTCATGTAAGATTTCTGTTTGCTTTCTTGAAAATTCCTTCTTATATAGAGTCAGATATATTTGATTTTGCGTTTAAGATATGCCAGTTCATTCACCATATGAGTAATTGTGGTGATAGAAAATTAAATAGCACAGTCATAATTCGAACGCACGATCTCAGGGTTGGCGCTCGAGTTTTTAGGCTTAATTGCTAAATTTAAAACTACCCTCACTTTTTAAAAGTGTAACCTTCGCGTTAAAAATCATAAGACGCATACATTTTTCATGAATTTTCTACCTCAACCTATTTTCTTTTAACTTACCGGTCATGCCGCGGCGAATGATTATCTCTGGGCGAGGGTGGTTCATCTCGCGCTGACATACTGCTCCTAAGAAACAACAAATTATGTAAAACATACTAATTAAAAAGAATTTTGAATTTTGATACTCAGCCGAAAATCACTGCAGATATCTGTCAACCCACATTGGTAAGAGAATAAACGCACCTGGTGCTATTAAGTGTAGCGACTGACTTGCTCTTGTCAAAAAACGCAAGTTTGTCAAACAAACTCAGTTGGCCAAGTTGGGCCAATGAGCTGGAACTTGAACGCTCTAGCCGGGGACTCGTTAGAGATCTATCACCTGAAACAATATTTTAACTTTCGTGATTTTGTAGATAATTGAAAGGTTTATGTAAGCTAAGGTTCTCCATGATTATTGATTTTTCCAAAATTGGAGGTACTTCACACTTAATATATGGTTCGATTTTCAATTAGTGTAAACTCCATGTAACGCCCCTCGATTTAACGACCGCCTAAAGCGTCGAAATCCCTCGGCTTTGGTTGGTTTAGCGTGTCTTCCATACAATGATACAATCTACATAGCATTACACCCACTCTCAATAACGACAATTAAATAATAATAAGTACTTTTTAAGTTAGTTAAAACTGAAGAGCTATGTACGTTCTTTTGTCGCTGTATTGTCCTAGCCCGTAATAAACTCGACTCTCGGCATCACACGTACTGAACTTTATAAGAAATCTGTTCTTTTGTTTACTAATTGGGATTGCTTGCGCTTGCTTTATCACGAAGACGCCTCAATATCGCACAATGAATAAAATAATACAACATACATATTTGTTGGTAAAGCAAAAGCGTTCAAACAAGAATTGTTTTTTATGTACTAACACTAGCCTGGAATAAAATTTCTTTTTGTAATACAGATTTTTCTCCAATTAACGGCAACTTTTTGTAATGTCAAAATATGCTTTTAATATACTTTTAACTTACTTATTCTATACTATCAGACTTTTTTGAAACAACACCCACCCACCCATCAAACAAACCAAACCCATATATACCCCAAAACTCCACTTTCTTCCCCAACCTTTTTCTCCTTCCGAGGCCCTTTCATCTTTAACCACTTCATTAAAAACAAAATTATCACGAACATTTCAAAAATCACATTACATACATTTACTAAACATCTCAAACGATATCTTGTTAACCTGTCCTATTCTGATACTGAAAATATTCTTATTGTGCAAAAATAGTTTTAATATAAATGTGTAGAAATAATTAATATAATTTTTAAAATACTGTTTACGTGTCAAAAGGAAGAGACTGGCTGCCCACAACACAGGTAATCCTAGTGTGGGGGCCAGTGCACTTTACTTTATCTAAATATCTTGTATATTGTGCATAATAAAGTTTTTTCTTTCTTTCTTTCTATGCACAGTCCCTTGAGTGTCGTTATATACAGTTAACACTGTATGTCTAAACTATAGCGAATATCTAAAAATACTACAGGGATACAAATTAATTAATAATAGGGAACAATAGATTTTTGTGAAAATCTGTATACTTTGGGAAAATCTGTAAATTTCTACCTTATTTCTAAACTGAAGAATCATTTAGTAGTATCAGGCATGTTTTATACAGAAACCAATATAAATGATTTAAACTACATTAGGACGTGCAAATACCTATAAATGATATAATAATATGGAATATTTACCTCTATCGTCCTGATGTATAGGTAAAGAAGCGAGAGACGCGCCATCCCATGTACACATACTTGTTGGTGATAGTTGGGCTACACCTGAAAACGAAATGAATATAAAAACATTAACAATTGATAAGAAACGCTTTTAGCAAACATTTTTATATTTCTAAAAAAAATTGAGTCGGAACTATGTAGTTTGTCTCTATACTGATAATTTTTCATTTCCGTAGAATTCTGACATTTCATAAGTGCTACTAAAAAAGTTCTCCACCGAAAAAGGGACTAATTTGACTTGAATTTGTGGGCAATAAAAAAAATGCTACGTATTTTTTATATTACAACAAAGTAAATCTTTATATTTACTTACTTAACCTAATACAAAAATAACAATTATTTCAATATCACGAACTATCCTATATCGAATTAACTTTAATTACTTTATTTTATTCTTTAGCTGCCTACTAATTCCAGGTTTAGTAAACCTTTTTAACTTTTGATGTGGAGCAGCGCACTTAATAAAATGGATACATTAACTAACAATATAATGTATGTATAGACTCAGATGTTCAGACTCGTATTGAAATTGAAAAATGTGCCCGGCCAAAAAGGTTTGCCATCTCTGACATATCAAAAAATTATAGCTGCCAGAATTTGACTGAATTAAAAATTTGAGTATAATTAAAAAAGAGATCCCCGGACTTCAATATATTACTACCCAACTTAGCTATAGTTTTAAATTATCACTCACTCAGCGTATCCTCATTGCTGGATATATTAGAAGAAGACTGGTGATGTTCCGTTGAACGACGAATCTTCACCGGCTTCACCGAAAGCTCCGGGTATTTTCTAGGCTGTAAATTCAATTAATATTTGTTTACCCTTTATTGCACACGGTAAAACTAGGAATGATTTTATCATTACATAGTGAAATGGCAGCATATTTTATCACATTCAAGCTATCAAAAGAGTAGATAGGCTGTAATTTGTCTGTTTCTTATTTCTCTTGAAAAAGAGATAGAAACAAGTGACTGCTAAATATTGCATGCAAATAAATTATAGACAAAGAGTCATGTTGGCCTAGTGGCTTCAGCACGCTACTCTAATCCCTGAGGTCGTAAGTTCGGTCTCTGGCTGGCTTTCCGCGCATTTAACATTCGCTTGAACGGTGACGGAAAACATTGTGGGGATACCGATTTGCCTTAGACCCAAAAAGTCGACGGCGTGTGTCAAGCATAGGACAAATGATCATGAAACAGATACAGAAATCTGAGGCCCAGACCTAAAAAGGTTATAACGCAGTGGCGTTATTACCAGTGGGTAATAATAATAACAGTACATAAATTATAACATCACGTAAATGTAAGTAGTGTTATTGGACACTTTCTTATGTATAAATCCTTATTAGTAAATTAGGTTAGACTTAAATTACTTATTAGTCTTAAGTTAGGCTAGATTGTAATGTTCCATGATGTCTTAGTAAAGACATGTATATAAAAAAAAAAGTAAATGTATAACAAAATATATTTATATAAATTATAAAGGCCACGAAGGCAAAGCTTTAAGAACGTACACAATAAGAAAATCAATTTAAAGTAAATTCTTGTACGTTCTAGTATACTTACAAATTTGGGCGTAGGCTTCGTGGGCGGTCTGGGTTCAATTTCCAAACTTTTATTGTAGAGGTAGTTGGTCACTTCATTGTCGTCCATACCCGGAAACGGGTCCAACGTTTCGAGAAACGTCTGAAATTATAATGTGAAAATTGAGATAGATAGATGCCGTTCTAATTAGTATAATAATAATATACTCTCTCTATCTAATCGGCTCATGTCTGAGCGTCGTGGTCAGCAACGAAGCATCTGGAGCGGACTATCTGTTTCTATCCAGCTCCTCTCTTATGACAGTATACAGATTTGAGAACGATGAGTCTTTCCCCCCTTTTCCTTCGTTCTCATCGCCTCTGCGCATTGTATGGCCGAAATAAGACACGAATATAATATAACAAAGTCCGTTCATTTCCAATCTTTACAAGTGTTGCTGGTTGCGATCTGCCCCGTGGCCTTATCCCTTCCACCTTGCCGACGGCAACCAGCTTGTGGAGGTAATCTGGTTGGTGATGGTGACGTGACGGTCGATATGACCAAAGTAAGTTAGAACTCTTCTATAGGATGTTGTTGTGAGTTTTGTACGACTAGTTAGAGGTATATGTACTTTTGATAATAAATGCAAATCGGTTCTTACCCTTGTCCTAGGTTCGATGGTGAGACAATATGGCTGGTTCTGATACTGTTGAATTTCACCGGTGATTTCCGCTACTTTTCTCCTCTTCGAAAAGTTTATTAATTGCGAGTTTGGTAGGTAATCTAAAAAAGAAAAACCCTTTTTTACAAATTTTAGTATTACAATCTAAAAATTAATTAATATTAATATGTCAAGGTAAAGAAATATTATAATTTTCTACTGCACGGTTCAGCAGTTTCAGAGATCACTTGATATAACCATTTTTTATCTAATATATAAAATTCTCGTGTCACAATGTTCGTTCCCATATTCCTTCGAAACGGCTCAACCGATTCTTATGATTTTTTTAATGCATATTCAGTAAGTCTGATGAAATCGGCTACTATCTATTTTTCAAACATACTACTATTTGTGGCATTAAAAAAACATACAACTCTAAATTTTCACCCCTCTACGATCAACCCCTATGTTTTAGTATAGTAGATAGTTATTTTAATTGACTAAAAAAAATGTTTCCTAGAAATAATATACATGGCAAAACAACGTTTGCCGGGTCAGCTAGTTACATACACAATATATACAAACCAAGATTCCCCTCCTCAATATGCAGAATGTTCGTGAGGTAGATCCCGCAAAAGGGCACACATGGAGGATTAATACTGCGAAGCCTTTCTTGGTAGCGTTTAAAGTGGTCAGAGTTCAAAGCGCGAAATTGTTCTAGAGCCCGAAGGAGACGGAGAGGCACCAGCTGGAAAGATATATGTCCCGTGGTAAATATTGGAGACCCACTGTCTTTAGTCCAATTACCGACTTAGTCAGGATTTGGCGGCGCAACGAGACATGTTACGAAGATTTTTTTATTTACAAATGAAATAGGTATCACGATTTTTTTTGACATACTATAGTCTATTTTACGTATATATTTCTATAGTACAGTACCAGGCCATTTATAAGTCGCATCGTGCTTTAGAAAGAGATACTCGCTTTGTAGAGCGTCATCTCTGTCACACGAAAAACTAACAGTCTGTTATCTATTAGGAGACAGAGACGCCGCTGTACGAAGCCGAAGCTTAGCCGAGTATCTCTTTCTAAAACACGATGCGACTTATAAATGGCCGGGTACTGTAATAAAGTGGAGTGATTTTTTTTACTATATATACTATATATATATATATATGTAAGTGGACTTTTCGAATGCTATGTTTCTTTTTTTATGATTTTTTACAAAAGCATTCTTGTAAACTGTTTAATTGTAAAGGCACATCGCTTAATTAAAACTGGTTAAACAAATAATAAATTATAAACAAATAAACTATATATGAAACTTTTAGTTACCTGAAATGTATTCCTCAATCTATGAACGCTGGCACTTCCACAGGCAGCGACCACAGCCAAAACACCATTAAAGTTATTCAGGTCCCGAAGACAAACAGCCAGTTCTAGAAACCTTGCTATCACCCCAGCACGTTCATCCCCATTTTCGCTTTCTACAACCCATTTTTCCATCCATCGAGTGAACTGTAAGAAAAAATATTTAAAAAACCAATTCGAAATGAATTACTAAATATTCAAAAATACAAACGAAAATTGTGGATCAGAGTAAAAACTTTTCCATTAATGTAATTAAATTAATCTAAATTTACATTTATACATTCAGTCAAGGGCTAGAGCGGGTAAGAGTGGCAAAAATTTCCCATCTTTTTAATCGCCAAGTATTGTCATACAAATTGTTTTACAAATTGATAAGTAAGTATATAGCATAACTTTAAATACTTCTGCATTGTAAAATACACCTTAATGGAAGACCATAAAAACACTATTACAATACGCGATAATACAATTGCTTATAGCAACGAATTCAGAAGTAGGATAAAAGCACAGTTCTTATGGGCGCTCTGATGACAAACTTTCTGCGACCCAAATTGCGATTACGACCCAGATTACGCCAAAGAGAGCGAGAGAGACGGACGTTCCCATTGTGTATGAGAGCAAGAGAGACGGAGAACGATGCCAGCGCCGCCAACTACGAGCGAAACTGGGGGCAGACCCCACTTGGGATCGGCACACGAAATCCTGTCTGCGCTTCTATCCAACGTCTGAATTCGTTGCTTATAGTGGAAGAGACCGTTTCCTGGAAGAGATCGCTTAGTAGCGATAATACCACACGTTGCATAATTTTGTAGTTTATTGTGAATCTATTATTTAACTCTGTAAAAATGTATAAATAAAACTTACATTTGTTGTGTGTTTAATAATCTTCAATAGATTGGGGCTTGTTTTTTCTTTATCTTTCTTTGTCCACACAGCACCAACTAACTCTGATGGTTTAACCTGAAAAAGATAAATATAAAAATAGTGTTAGTAATAAATTTAATAATCCAGTGGCGCTACAACTCTAAATATACCTTGACCTCAGATAGCATCCGTTTCTTCGATCATTTTAATTTCATAGACAAATCACCAGCCTTAAGTGTCTGACACAGTCATCGACTTGTGGGTTTAAGACATGCCGGTTTCCTCACGTCATGTGCTGCACATTTTTCATATAATCCATCCATTGGTTCACAGCCGTAATTTGAACAGACGCTCAAGCCAATAGGCCAACTCTTTACAGAACTAAGAACAAGAATGGAGCAGTCCAAAGTCATTTAAAATCTTTTTTTTTAAATTTGAAATAAATTTAATTTCTAGCTCGTAAGAATACTCGAAGAGGAAGTCTACTGAACTGAGTACTACCCGCATTGTGTGTCCAATAAATATTTCTTACCTGTTTATACAACTGAAACTCGAGCAGCGTGAGTTGTCTGGCCATTTCCAACGGATGTAAGGCAAGAGGATGCCAGTTGTATCTGTCTGGGTCTGCCACGTGTTTGCATGTGGCAGGTGGCAGACGATCGAATACATGTGCCACGCCCCCTGCTAGGCTGTCTGTATCGCCGCCGGTGAAACTCTGCAAAAAAATGTAAGGTTTTGCCAAGTGCTGATCGGGAATACAAAGCTGGTATCGGGTAAGATTTGCTCAGTATGTATTTGAAATAATAAAAAATCTTTCAATCTTTTACGTCAAATTTACGTAAATTCGTACAAATATACCTTATATTTGTCATAATACACGCATTCACGCATACTTAATGTCTTATAAGACTTGTAACACTTAAACTACGTTTGCTCAAAAAACTGTTTTAAACATGGATCACGGAATAATTGTTAACTAGTTACCCACAACACAAGGACTCCCTAGTGCGGGGACTAGAAATAGATGAATTTTGTCACATCCTATCTGTCATGTATAAAGTTTTTGAAGTGAAAACTTCTTTAGCGGCGTTGTACACTTTTTTTGGAATGGGTAAAAAATGTTAAACTCGCGTCAGGACAAATTCGTAAGACGGATGTTTTTTAAAGGATTATGAACCTTCGTGCTATATAGTTACGGTTTTAATTCTTTGTCTCTTTCCTCAGATACATTGATGCATGTGGAATTGGACCTTAAGTCAATATAATACATCAAGGTTTAATTTTGCGAAACGTCTAAAGCTTTATTATTAACGGTTTGGTCAGAAGACAGTTGGCGCGGCGTATTTAATGTAATATAAATTGTCATGTTTGTGTACAATAGCGCAATAAATAAATATTGTATTCTACCACATAAATGAAAGTACTTTTATTTAACTGATAATTAAAGCAATTCGTGCAAAATTATTCCCTAACCATTCCAAAATACTAAAAATGCACAACGTTAATATTCAAGTTTTCACTGCCGGCACTCCCGGAGTGCAACCCGTCGTTTTTTTTTATAGTACTGGACGTCCGCTGTTTAAAGTATTGACGCTAATATTTTAGACTATTTTATCACCTACATAACCTATTATAGCTCATATATAAAATTATTCTATGAATAAGGATAATAATTATTCACTTTCAAGCTACTTATAATAGCTATAACATAAGATGAATGGTAGAAGCTTTATTTTTATATAAATATATACGGCGCCGGCGCACGTCTCTGCTGTACTACAAAACCTCACCTTTCTCTGTACAATCTTGAGTACACTCTGCACCCATTTCTTCATAGGTTTCCCATCAACCGACTCCAAAAAATCCTTTAATTTTTCGAGCAATGCTGGGTCACGTTCAAAGTCGTAGAAATGTTGGTCCACCCAGTGTCTTAGTACGTTGATAACTCTAAAACGAAAAAAAAATCCCATTAGTTGATCTAATGGGAATCCCATGAAGCCATATTTTCTCTATTTTTGGTTTCAAGTGCGTTTTTTTACAGAACAAACGGGCTAATCATCTCATGTTAATCATACCTTCACCCATTGACACTTTCAATGTCAGAGGGCTCGCGGGTGCGTTTTAGAATTGGTTCGTTCTTTTTATGAAGGACCCTAAGTAGAATTGGTTCGGAAATATTTCAGAGGGCAGCTGGTTCCACATAATGGCGGCAAAAACTGCCTTAAAATCGCTCAGTTGTGAAATGACGTCGGGGTGATACGGGTGGAATTTTTTATACTGATGTCCGATGATGAAACATAGCTGCAGGTATTAACACGAACAACTCTTCTGAAAACTCTCCGTGGTAAACGCGGTAGAAGATGCAGAGTGAAACTACATAATATCTACGCAACGCCAAGGGATCTATCCGCTTGGTATTGGAAGTAATGAGCAAATTTTTATTAATCGTTTTCATTCAATTACAGATGCATATAACAATTCAATACTTAGTCTATGGTTTTTTTTATTAAAAACCTTTTAAAAAATTGTTTTTAAAAGTTCGTAAATTACAATTTGTGTCATGTCATTCTTACCGAAATTTGACAGGTTGTTGGAACTCTTTCCGATATCTCTTCCAATCTTCCCGCGCCGTATTCTTACTAAGCTTCTCAGCATCGCTACTCGCTGACATTTCTTCTACGCATTCAGCTGTGAGATAAAATTAATTTTAAAATCTAATACGGTAGATTAAGAATACTACAACTACGAACAGTAGGGTTGGTAACAATAATACAAAGGAAAGCTAATAGCCTAATAATAGTATTAGCTTTTCTTTGACGGAATTCGTATATAGGGTAAAAGCCGGATAGTTGCCTCGGACGGATACATGCCCCGGTGTTTAAAAAACTATGTTAGGATTATAAGTTGTATTGGCGCTTTACTACAATAAGTAGTGACTGCCTCTCAGGCCTAAATGCCACGTAAGCCATCGGAATAGGCCCAAGTGTTTTGTCCGTGTGAGCAAAAATCTTCCGCGGCGAAACTTTGACGGGCGTTATAATTATATTGGTAAGTAATTTCTATTGAATATTTTTATTACTGATCGTGGTTTCAGTCAACTTTTTGTTTCTTTGCATGCATTAGAGTTTAAATTACACTGTTTATCATGTTTTATTGCTAAATAATTTTTATTTATTTCGCAAATAAAAAGGGCAAGTATCCGCATCAAAAAGGATAGTTGCCCTACTTACTGTCGCGGATAGTTGCCCCTAGAGTGACTAAAAATTTATTAACAAGCAAAGACGGATTTTATTTTTTTGCTGTTTTTTTTTGATGTTTATTCGAATTTACTTTGTCTCTAACTTGTTGTAACTTCACAGTTTTTTATATATTTATTATAGATAAGCAAAAGCCTCATCAACATCAACTGGACAGAAGGTGCTTAGCACTTGCCTTCGAAAAATTGAGACAAAGTTGGGATTAAAGCTAAAAAGCTTTCTTGAAAGAAATCCTGATATAACTTTGAGACAAGCTGAGGGTTTATCAATTGAAAGAGCGAAGGGTCTCAACAGAACAGAAGTTGCAAATTTTTTCAAACTCTTAACAACTATTTTAACTGAGAATAATTTGCTGGATAAGCCAGATAAAATATTTAACATGGTTGAAAGCGGTGTCCAACTCAATAATAAAATTGGTAAAGTATTAGCTAAGGAAGGTGCTAAAGCAGTTAAATCAGTTACTCCCGGTGAAAAAGGAGAAAAATTACTGTTGTTTCTTAATATTTCAAATTGTACTTAATAAAAGATCTCAGTAAATTATAAAGACTGTTAAATAAATAATAAAGATTACTCTATTTGATATAAATTTCTTTCTATCCAAAATAAAAACGCACAAGGCAAGTATCCCCCGAAGCATTTTCTTCGCTAGGCTACTATCCGCCATAGTAGGCAACTATCCCTTTTCTGAGAGGTGAAATAAAACGGTATTTATTCAAAACCATTGTTAATTATGTAGACAAAAATAGGCTTTTATAGAAGATAAAAGACCTATGTTGCGAGATACATACTGAATAATTTTCAGCAAGTTCATATTTAAAAAATATAAAGCTTTTTCGAAAAGTGGGGCAACTATCCGGCTTTTCCCCTAGTATTAAATTCATAAAATTTTATATTCTAACTAGCTCTGCGAGCTTCCTTTATAGTAGCTACATACCAACATATAGAACTCAATAGAGACTGTTCATCGCTGTTCGAGAACAAAAAAAGTAAACAGTTTTCTTTTCAAATGTCCATAAAAACCTTCCCCAGAGTTCTAGGAATAAATTAAAAAAATACTCAATTGGTCCAGCCGTCTTCGAGTTTGATGAACATATTTTGCGATTCATTTTTATTTATATAATTTAATTCTTGTAATTGATCTGAGTTTTTGAGACCATTTTGTTATTGAAATACAACATATAATATTTACTTCACGTGTAAAGATCTTAACACACAGGCTTAAGATCTCTACATAAAATCGAAATCAAAAACATAAATATGTCATGCATAAATAATTTTATACATTACCGATATTTAGATCTAGATCCATAAGCGACGCGTGCGGACTTATATCCTTTTTTGGTAACTTGATCCTTGGGACTTGCGTGCGCAAATATTAAGTTGTTACATATGACAATTCAATTTTATAGTTTTTAACGAATACGAGGCAGATATTTTTTCATATATTACATATATTTAATCAATTTCTATGTTTATTATGGTTTTTATCATAAAAGATTATTGATTTACTGGAATATTTATGGCCAACGTTTAAATTCCAGATATAATCTCACTAATGTTAAATATCATTCGAATACATGATATGTAAATCCTAACACATAGGCTTCAGTTATTTATACACACACACACACACCAACACTCTACACGCATTTTCTCTGTATATATTGTTTAGTCTGTAATTGGCGTTTCGATTTAAAATTTTGTATTATAGTTAAGTAAGCTGTAAGGTTTTAACAAATAAATAAAAGGTATTTGAGCTCAGTAAGAAATACACATTTTGAAATTGGCTCTGATAGAGATATTGTTTATACTCACAGGTTCTGGGTGTATCGTAGACCTCGCTCGGCTCCGGAATATGAAACCGCTCAATGAGCAGGTCGAGCAGCTCGGCCGGTGAGCAGAATGAGCGGTAGGTGGTTAGGAATGTTCGCACGAGGTTCAAATCCGCGTAGATGTGGTATGTTAGTCGTTCTACGAGTTTTAAGAGGGTGGCTCCCTAGAAGATAAATTAGTTTTTAACCAACTAAAAAAAAGAGGTTATCAGTTTGATCTATTGGAATTGGATGTTTGAAATCATCATATATTGAACATACAACATATTATTCCGATTTCCACTACGAGTTTTATATTTCGTAAGTGTATGTTTATTTGTTCACATATTTTTTTCGAAAATAAAATTCATATCCTGATTGAAATAAGGTTTAAATTTTTTTGGAATTTCATATTAGGAAACTGTCCAGTTTCAGAAAAATAGGTTAAGTAGTTTTATGAAATATGTATGTATTTATACTTTAATCAACAATTTAGACAGATATTTTACTCAATTTTAAGAAATAAATACTTAAAATAAATAACTATTTACCTTTATAAGAGGGGTAGGTCCCGCCCGTTCTTCCAACACTATATTATCAGGCGAGTCGGGTTCCGCGAAGCGATATAACGACACCGGTGGTAGTTTTAGGGGATGCCGCCTTTCTAGTTCTAGTAATATGCTAAAAATTATGAAATTATTAATTCAATAGAGTAACAAGATTTTAGGTATATCATAGTTTTTTTGTGTAAAATCAATTATATATTTATGATCGTCATATTAAGAAATATCCTGATTTGAAAAAAAAAAATTTCATTTCAGGCTAATAAGCAATTTCAAGCCAGCCAAAATATTTATTTTATTTATTTGACCAATTCCTTATTAAATTTTAGCTAGATTAATGCTTTAAATAATCACCTGTCCAAACTCCTATCAAGCATTGGCTTGGTGTTCAGCATGACGAGGTCGCACATCCAATTTCTTTTTTCGGCGGCTGAAGCAGCCGAAAGAACTATTGGTCCTCCGATCCGGGGTGTTAGTTCCATTAGGTTACGGCCCTCTGCAAAATATTTAAATTGTTTATACTTTTTATTCACATTTTATAATCGCAGCCAAACCTTTGCCTGGTCGAGCAAGTCATGCGTTTAAGTGTTAAACGCTAAAATGTTTATATAAAACTTTCATTTGACATACGGTCGTCATACTTAGCGACGACGCGACACCGAATTACTCTTAGAGTTCCTCTTTATCGCCCGAGCAGCAGAGTTGGGAATTATATGACTTTTGTTCTTTGTTTATGAAACTACATCTTTGAAACAAGACATAGTCAGTACGACTAGTGTAGGGCCGTTGTCCTACGTGTTCAAGATTAATTTAAATTTGAATTGCAAAAAATATTTGGAAGATACAAGTAGACACTAAAACATCACTACATTTAAATGGACGAAAATTTAGTTTTTATGTTAAAAATCAACTAACCTTCACAGTCAATTTTATCGACAATTTCTAGTTTTCTAATATGAAGCTTTTCTTTTAACTTCAGTTGTTGAGGGCCACCGGATGCAGCATTACTATTTACAGTTACCTAAGAACAGAGTTAAAGACGTAAGCAAAAGCATTGTTAGCCTGAGGTAGAGCGTGTAAGCCCCAGGGACCTTTACGCATTTTATTTCAGAAAAATTCGAGAAATCTAGCTAGGACAGACAGCCTCAAAAATAGCCTAAAGAAAAATTATCACTGAAAACACAAAAATACAAAGACAGAGACAAATCTCTCGGTTAAGAGATTTTATACACATATAACTTTTTATGAGATTCAAATATATTAAAATGGGTACGATACACACACCTATTAAGCAACTCGGTAAGTTTTAAATTATTGCAAATACAAATAAATAATAAACCCAATTAATGATATATTAATATTTGAATTGAAATTCGATTAGTTTATCAAAATTTTTGAAAATTTAGCTTGGTTCATACTTACGCTGACTATGCTAGTAGACGGCTTACAGAGAAGAAGTAGACCGTCAAATAGGAACGCCCGTCTTTCCGCAACTCGTTTTCCAGGGCCTAGTTTTGATAGCGTATCCTCTGAAATGTGATTCAATTATTATATCTATATAACAGCGACAGAAGGTAACAAATTATTAATTTAATTCGATTAATCAAGAGACACCATGAAAGCTGGCAATTTTTTGCCAGACAATTCCAATGGAACATGACATGATTGATGGCTTTAATATGAATTGCCCTTTTTTTGGTATATAACCGTTTTACTTTGTGGCTGTGGTTATAGTAAACCTAGTCACTAATATGAATCATTTAGTATCTGTATATGTAACTACTAAATTGTAAGCACTGTAACCATTAAAATCTATACCGCGTTATTGTAAACTTCAAACAACATTACAAACAGTAACATACAACGCATAATTCTCCGTCATATTCAATAAGGAAACAGGACAGACACTATAGATATATTAGTTTTGTCATGTTTCATCTTTTTTATTTCTGCCAAATGATGACTCTATCGTACGAATGGCATGAGCATTAGCCAGCCAGTTTATTAAATGTTGTAACAAACTCTAAGGCTAAACATCTTTCAGGCCGCTAGTTAAACGGCGACGTTTAGTTAAAAGGCTGGGCTGTTAAATGAACGGCCAATTAAGCTAGTTGGCTGCGACATATATAAGACAAAACAATTACAAATTAAATGACGCTTGAAAACAGTGATCAGAAAATCGACATTAAATAAGTGAATGTTGTAGGAATTACACTTTATATTATGATTATTATCTCGAGGTAGAATACAATGTAACAGTATATAATTTAGTAACTGTTTTTATATTTGTTGTGTAATTTCAAATGTTACCTCTAATAAATTCATTGCAGCACTGTGGCACATCTTTCGTATCCCAATTATCTATTAATTTCCCAAGCTCGTTGCACTTTTCAATCGCGAGCTGCCGTCTCGCTCTAGCCGCGCCTCGGATTGCTGTATCACTGAAAAAAATTAATTATAAAAAAAAATTGAATAAAAAAAGTAATAATTAATTCGTAATTATCACTCTTGTCATAGAAATGCACGTGACAAAATATTCACAAGGTAATTGATACGTACGTTCGTCGTAATAGGTACGTTTATAAATAAGCGTATGTATTGATATTTTTTTAAATTAAAACTATATATTTAATTTTTTGCTCCTTGCATCTTTGCGTTCACATACACATGCATTTAAAAAATAAATATCTGCGTTAAAAAAAATTAATAAGACAGACGTAATTTCTTATCTGTGATCTTAGTAGTATATGTAACGTCAAAAAGAAAAATCTGAAGTTGACAATTATATTTAATATTTTAAATTTATACTAATTATATCACTGATTGTTTAAGTGAACAATTTTCGTATGTATAATAACAAACTCCAAGGTTCAGTTTTGTTATGTATGAAGTTTGACATAATTGACAGCGCTCAAGACGAGATTACGACTTGAGATATGAATTAGAATATAGATCAAATTACTTACATTTTAGGGCCATTCCCTAATGCCTTCGTCAATAACTTTTTAATGGGATGTAAATTGCATTCGACCTGAAAAAATATTTATTTTCTTTATTAAGGCTTCACGAACAAACGAATTTATAGCTTATTTAGGCATAAAACTAGGCTAAGATGGTCTATGGAATTGTTTTTTTACCAACCATCATAATGGACGCTGAAAATATAAAAAAATGCACCAGAAATTTTGGTTCGTTGATTTAAGAAGTAAGTCCTAGATTTCATTTGACAAAGAATTTTTGAAGTTATACTTCTTTAGGCGCGTTATGAAAAATTGATGAGAGTGTAATTTTACGATGCGCGCGCACCGTGACACAAAATTAACAGAATGAAGTTGCCCACGGAAGATGCTACGACATTGGACACAATTTAAAAACAACATTCGAATAATAATATAATTTATGTTACACTTAATGTAAGAGAATAATAATAAATGTTTATTTATTTAATTTTTCAAATGTAAACTGAACTTTATTGACTATAATGACACTTTTTCCAGTCTTTGATTATTTAATTGTAATTAATTATTTGCATGCAATCAAAAACTATTTTTAATAATGCCAAAGAAGTATAACATCTTACGTGCGTACATAAGTACACGCACTCTTTTTTGATCTTATTCTGAGGGGTTGTGGAACCTCTGTCTAATATTCATGTAACTGATGAAAACGAGCGAGTTTGAACTATACCTGTTTAAAGCTCTCCCTATCGTCACTAGTGGGTGCTATCTGTAGCAACGCCAACACGTAACTATGATACAGGAACACGTGAGAAACGGGCGTTAATAACAACTTCGGTAGATAGTATTTCACCGCTAGTCGAAAACCGTGACCCGCTGTATCAAGACGCTCGGAGTACTGAAAATTAAATTTGGACATTAAATCTCCACGACTCTAAAATTTCGAGGATTTTTTAAGGTTTTTAAATAAAATTTTATAGTTTAAACGAGATTTGTGAACGTGAAATATTTATATGTATGCCTTTGAGAAAAAATCAATGCAACAATTTAAATTTAGTTATAATAAGCTATTTAATTAAGATTAAAAATATATCGTAATTTCCAGAAATGTTAATATAAAATGTAACTTTTTAGCAAAAGAATTTATCTAATTGAGTTTACTTTAAACAAATTTATCCTCATTGTTAAGAGAATAAATGCGTGTTAAAAGCAATACCTCAGGGTTGTCAACGATTTCTTGCAAGGCATCCCTCGACTCTTTTCTCGTGACAATATTTGCATATCGAACGTACGCACGGAACTCTTCCACTTCAGCTAATTCTATAAAAAAGAACATAACCTTCAGCACATTACATATTATTGATAGCCGAGAGACTTAAGTCAAAAATGTATGGAATTTAAAATATATCACAAAATCTAGGCTTTGACAATAAACACTAATGATCGTGTTACAAAATGTAAACGTTTTATAAAGCTTAAGGGGCCGTTCATGTATTACGTGGCCCCTCCCCCCCGATTCTTCCTCTTCATTCTTTGATTTTCTGATTTCTGATAACATGAGGGGATTTACATGGTGATTACAGCAGCTGTAATTATTTACTATTACCCATAACCTACAATCCATCCAGCAAAGACAAAAATGTAAGTTGTATGGCAACGTTTCGCATTGTTTTGTCTCGCTCTAATATATAGTAGATGAAATAGTTGCGTCCTTGTCGGTATTGTTTCCAAGTAACTGCGAAATGGCTGTTACACAGACCAGCCGTTTCGCTAGTGGAGTTTCGCATCGCAAGCGTCACCACGCGTTCTGTCTGAGGACAGAATTTCGCACAATGGAAGCCGAAAATATTGAATTTGATTCAAATTATCCAATTATATTTATTGGGCTACGATCTTCATGTGATTGAAGTTCTAAGCATACTTATTTTCTCCGAGTTTTCTTCGTTTCTGATTTATTTCATGACCCAGATTCTACGCTTTCTCTTTAATACCGACGCCAGCAAAACAATTCTTCCTCTTCAGAATCTGAAAGCGACGACTGGGACGACTCAGATGACATTCTGAAACGACGTCTCACCTACAGCCCACAAAGTACAATGACATTTCCTTGCGAAAAAACTGCAGTGTACTAACGTTCCGCAGATATTTCGCTACCGCAAAGACTCGCAACCGCATACGAACGCGTAAGTGTACTAAAGGCGTTACTACTAGTACTTTAATTGTACTTCTTGAAGGTATAAATGTGGACATATTTTTTTTGTATGCTGGTTATTTGTCAAGTCGTGCTTCAAGAGAATCGTCGTTGAAATTAATATTTTTTTGGAAATACCTACTAGAAGTACAATTAAGCCAAATGAACAAATTTAAGAATATCCATTTTTTTTCGCTGTCCACTTCACGTGAAATGTCCTCTTTATTACAAGTTATATCTCATGTCGTGTCGAAGTCTACCAACCAAGGTAAGTTGCGACCCTTGGTAGCGTCAAAAAAAATCTTTAGTTGTGTTGTAATTATCAAAACAATGTCAATTTGGTTTGTCAATTGTAAGGTTAGATTTATTAGCTAGTATTTGTGTTTTTTTGATGATTTTTTATCTACACTGCAAATTTTTTTATATTAAACTAAGTCATCAAGAGTCTGTATAAACAGATAAAAAAAAAATTTACAATACCTTCAAAACAACTTCCGATATATGGTTGCGGTGAATCCTGAGACATTTCCATCGCATCTTCCAAGTTCCCAAGCAAGGTGACAGTAAGCTCATAAATATCCACTATGTTACCAAATATTAGCGATATCTTCTGAAAAAACATTCATTTTATAACAAGTTTCTGGAATAAAAAGATTTATTTTGGTAATACTGTGTCCCGATATAACCGCCAACAGCATGTATTATTAGGTGTTGGTTGCTGTCCGTTATATATTAAAAGTGTTATTGTTATGTGTTTGACGAGACTAAAAATTAAAAAATGCTGTACTAGCATCCATATTTTACCATATTTTTTGCCTAGAGTAGGTAACTTTTTGTGCCTTCCAATCAAAGCTTTATTTTACAAATACGAAGTTCATTTCATTTAACATTTGGTAGTTTTGTTTCTGAAATGCTAGGCAGTTCAACACTAGCAGTAGTTATTTTTTACTGTTTAGACTTTAGGAACAAAATACAATTACGGTTGTTACTTGAAATATAAGATCCTGAGAGTAATTGATAATCAAATTTATAATATAAATCGATAAAAGTTGCTTTAAAGTTTCAAATTTTTTTTTATAACAGGCAAATGTGCAGGAGGCTCACCTGATGTTAAGTGATACCGCCCGTGGACACTCACATTGCCAGAAGACTCGCAAGTGCGTTGCCGGTCTTTCAGGAATTGGTACGCTCTTTTCTTGAAGGACAAAAGTCGAATTGGTTCAGAAAAACTTCAGCTGGCAGCTGGTTCCACATAGCGGTAGATCATGAAGGTTTATCTAATTTCTTCATATAATATTGTATGAAATTGCTCACCCATGTATCAGAGATGATCTTCTCTATCTCGTCCTTGAATACCCTGATGATAAGGTTGAGATCGCGCAGGAAGTTTCTCTCATCAGCCAAAAGATCTCTCACCAACTCTCCATATGTAAGGGAGGCTCTCCGACCCCTGTCAAGAGCTGATACACCTGCTGCTACACCAGCCAGTTCAGATTCTTGGTAGAACATGTCCATTAGAAGCTAGGAAAACAGGATATCAAATAAACAATTTTAAGCATACCGCAAGTTTCAAATGGCATACATTATTTCCAAAGAAAAATATATAGTTGCAACAAAAAAAATACCTTATCAGCACACATAGCTGTCTTTATATCGCTGCTAGTAATAACAAGATATCCAGACTTCTGTGAGATCTTCTTAACAAATGTTCCAGAGAGTCTCAACACATCTGTGCTTATATACTCCAGTATTCCTATCATGAAACCCGTTACTGAAGGGTCAATTTTGTGTGGCAGGACCTCCTGAATATTTACAGTAATGATAACATTATATACATATAATAAAGAATGCATCCTTCATATCATATATAAACTGATTATTAAAGTTTACGAAAACACTTATTTAAGCTAAGCTAAGCTAGCTCCATCTAAGCTACTTTAGCTGAGAAAAATACCAATAGAGAGAAACAATAAGTTGAAAGAACAGAAGGCTGACCTAACTTAATATTGCAAAAAAAAATTAACAGTCCTACAGAGAAATATTTTTAAGTTAAATTGCCTTAATTTAACTAAATAAGAAATACCAAATGCTTAAAATATATTATACATGATCAGAGACATGGGAGATGATTTAATTTCAAATACCTTTTGCAAGAGCTGATGCAACTTATCAGCGGGCAGTAGCAACTTTCTTTTCTTTTGTACATCTCTTGCCTCTTGCAGTGCCCATCTGTCTAGAGGAGTTGGAAAAGTTCGAGACACTCTTTCTTCTACATCCTAAAGAGAAGAAAACTGGTAAATGTCTCTCCTATTCAAATTTAAATAGATGTACAAACTTTACAACCAATATAATATATTAAATTTGTATAATTCATTTTAAGTTAATGAATACGATAATAATTAAATTAACAGATTTTCAAACATATCTAGCACCATCTATTATACACAGGCTATTGTTTTATTTCAGGATACTAGTACAAATTGTTGTACCTGAATTGTGACAGGAGCCGGTATGGCACAAAGCATAGACAGCAAGCGAAGACATAATGACTCCACAAATTCTAGACCACTTTCTTCAGCTGTTAATGTTGGATGTAGGTTCTCTAAGATCTGTTAAAATGAATAACAAAGTAAGAAGTACAATTGGGAAGACAATTCTAATTCAAATCCAACAAAGATTTTTAAAGTTATGAATAGATTCTATTATTTTTAAATAAGTATACACAAAAAGGAATGCCATTAATTTAATATTATATAACAAGCAGATATTGCTAATATGTTAAAAATAATTTAAAATCCGTTCTTTTGTAACTAGCTATTGTCCAAACATTCTCTTAATTAGGGTCTAGGTCTGCAATAAACAGTATTGCGAGCCAAAGGTAATAATTTCATCTACTGGCATATTAACTAAGAAGGTCAATTAAACAGATATATATATATTAGTCCCATTTTGAAGATATGAGACTTCACTGAGACATTATGTAAAAAAGAGTTAATAAACTTTAGACACAGACACATTGATGATGTTTGTAAAGTAAGGAATGTATGTATTTGTAAATATTAAAAAATGAAAAATAAAGTAACAATAGTAGAAGCAACAAGATACGTTATCCAAAAGACAGATTTTTAGTAAACAATAACAGCCATTTTACATTCTAATTAAATTGTGACAAGGAGAGCAATTATCCCTTGGACTCTAAAATACTTCTAACAATGAACAAATTTTCTAAAATGTAAACACAAATAATTAAAAGTATGCCAATCCCTTAATTAAAATTTTTTTTTAATGTTTCTATATATTATGTATTTTTGTTTATAAAATCTGATAAAATTTGAAATAATAAAGTAGACATGTATACAAAAGTATTTTAAGGTGGTTGAATAAATCAATTTTTTATCTAAAATATAAAAGTCTAATACTGATAAATATAATAGTAAATTTACTAATTAAATTTCAAACTTATGTAATTTATTGTGATAGATTATCATTGTTTATCTCTTATTATATGTTACAAAACAATTTTTTATGAAGTTACTGTGTGAAAATATAATCGTCTACCAAAGATTTTTCATTTAAGTGCACCTTACCATTATATTTATTAAAATTCAGCTATCTGCCAATAACTACAACATTTTTATACGATATTTCTATTTGATTTGGTTAATAAAAGGGGATTTTCTAGCCTTGTTTTGAGGCCTACCCTGTTGTACACAAACCTTTTTGAATGAATTGAGGAAGAGACCTTTCCATTTATCCACATTCTCTGGGTCCTGAAAATCGTAGCCCCGACTTTCTTCCACCGTCGGAAGCATCTTGAACGAGAGCACCGCGCCGAATTCATGTAAACACTCAATCAACCACTTTCCATTTCTTAACAACGGAAACTCAAAGCTTCCTTTAGAAAGATAACACTATAGTAGAACATAGGCACACGAGATTTTCGAGATTATAGTAGTGTCTCTAAACATAAATTCGGATCTCAGATAAAAAAAATAATAGTGTTTTATTCATCATTCATCTAAGTAATAGGCAATAGTGAATAGACGCCATTTTCAATTTATAAATCATTCTGTCCAGTGTTGCCATTTAGACAGGATTTTCCTTTAAAATTATTATACTACCATCAGTGATCTGTCACATTTCTAAAAAATACATCTAAAAATAATTTTAATGTAATATTTCTTTTGCACCCCAAATTACTCTTAAAAATAGATTAATTTTCTTCATATTATGGAATCATATTTTTTTATGACAATTTATTTGCTTTCAGAGGCTAAGATTCAAGAACGAGACGGCCCGAAATATGACTTTTGTTTATAGAAATCGTTACTATCTTAAAATTTGTAGAAATATTGCGTAATGTAAACGCTTATTTATATATAAAAACGTCACGTAATTACACAACGGGTACAAAAATGTAATAAAGTGCTAAAAAGTCAGCAACAAATCAATAATGCTAGACTAGTACAGTAGATCTATGGGCTAATTCTAAAATTCTTAGTCTGTGACTGTGATCCAAATCACAAAAATATGTTTTAAATCGTAATCGATTATTATAAAAAGTCAACAAATATGGATTTATAATTTTTATTATGTTAAGTTAAAAATAATTGTTTAAAATGATAAGATTCTTGCTAATAAGTATTATTCTACATCCAATTTTAGGATCTGTAGTTGATAAAGTAAAAACCTATGATAATACTACACAAAAAATATTTATTTATAATACGTAAGTTTTACTACTATGTATATTTTATTGTGCAAGAAAGTAATATTTTTATAGAGTTTTGTAATATTTATTTTATTAAAATGTTTAAATTTATACCTCTCTATAGAACCTAAAACAGGGTAAGCCAATTAATTATGAATAAAAAATAAGTGGATGTATACATCCACTAGAACCATTAGTGTAAATATTTAAATTACTAGTCACATATATATTTTTATTAAAAATGTGGTTTCAACCAGTTCTTACATATTAAAGAAATAACAGATTGGTTATTTAAATATGAATTTTGATTAATTATTTTGGTTTTTACATTTTTACAGATATAGTTATGATAAAATAATTGATCTCTCAGTCATCAACACAACAACACAAATACTTGACTTCTATGAGGCAAGTACTGCATTACTTTAATAACTTTATCAAGAGAGATATGAACATAGTAACGTTAGTGGAACAGTTATTGAAAGCGAAAACAGAGAGCTTTCCATACACACACATAATTTATCAAAACATTGTTTGTAAACTCGGCAAAACGAAGTATATTTTTTCCAGGAAGATGAGTTATGGACAGGTTATCCTACAAGGGTACATGTTGGCACTAATGATTCAATCAAAGGAGACAATCCACTCTTCGTTACCGCTGCTCAACAGAAAAGTAAGTAATCCTTTTAAGCCCTGTTGAGGCAGGCCCTGACAGGCATATGACCAAAGGCAGATCTGGAATTTATGTCAGAGGTGGTACTCACAAATTTTTTTTTACAAAATATATCTTATTAGCATAGTATTTAAACAGGATATATATATATAGACAATATATGATATATGGATAGCTTCTCTAAGCATACACACAATCATAATTGATCAACTTCTATGATTATGTTTTAGGTATCTCATCATGGGAATTACCACTTACAGTGACAACAAATCATAGAGAGCTACAATTTGATGACATAGCAAGAACTCTCTGCCCACATGATGCTGGACCAAGTAAGAATTTACTGTAGTTTTACACAATTTCTGTTCTAAGCAAATAAAGAAACTAAAAATTAAATTGCATAAATTAGTTCAGTTGGTAATTCAAAGGAATTTAAACTATTTTGAATATATTTTGATTAGATACCAAAAATATAGTGGGTCTTGACATCAAATTGGTTTAGTATGCCAGCATTGAAAAAAGATTGGTCATAAACCAGGAACATATTAGTTTACTATATCAGCCATATAGCAAGAGTATTAATGAAAAAGTTTGGAACATCCAAAAGTGCATGCCTCATAGCGGTCATTCACATTTAAAAAAAAAAATCTAAAACAAACACTAAAGTTTTTTAAAACAAAATAACATATAAATTATTATCTTTTAGTCTTACGCTATTTTATAAAACGAAATTTACGTAGCGCATGCGCGAATCTTGATTTTCCACATACTCTTGCATATAGATATAGTTATAAATGTATATATAGATATACAAATATACAGTCGTATTTCGTTTTTTACACATTATAAATAAACGACAGTACTTAGAACGCTAATATTAACTAGGAATCAGCCCAGGGTATAATTTTATATAATAAGAAAAAAAGTATTCTGGTACGATAAATTTTTGGACCAATTTCTCTGCCACATACATGGATCCATAAACACAGACTGACGGACGTCCAAGAATGATTGATTTTAATGTTATTATTTACTATGTTAAACAAAATAATTGTTCATAAAAAATACCATATGTGCTTGATAGATTATTTAACTCGATTTTAGTGGACACATATTATCCTGTAAGTGTTATATTAGTGAGAAAAAAGTCATTCAAGTTTCGAAAGACTAGGTTTGACATGTAGAGTACGAGAGTAGAGCACTGCCTCCGCTCCGCTAATGAGGCGTGCAATAGACAAGACATGTCTATTGGAAGGACTTACCAAATAGCCTTATGAATTTAATAAATTACTTTCCTTTGAATACATAATTGTTTCAGATATAACATCACAGAGTCGTCCGACATTGACATTAGCAACATCTAGCTCGCAACCGATCAATGTAAAAATAAAATTACGCCGTGTTAAAGATTTCTACTTGGAAATGAATAAGGTACACCTTGTGCATATAGTTTTACCCTCTCGCTAATCTAGCAGTCTATTTTCACTTGCCTTTTTATCTCAGTGTAAGTGTATTTTGATAAAACAGTGCAATTATAATAATATGGGTCACACAAATTATAAAATATAGGAGTACAGAAACAAAATGCTTGCATTTTATTTTACAGCGCCCCCTAGTATTATCACACAAAACTATTTTTTTTTAAATTAAAAAGTCATTGATATGATATACAATTCGATATGATTTTCAGGAAGTCCCGTTAAATTTGACTCCAAGTACACCGAAATACTACTATTTCTCATTCGACAGAGATCCTTGGAACATGACAAATAAATTATATAAAGGATTTTTACCAAAGTTAGTATACAAACCCAATCGTAGGTACCGCATCTGTTTCATGCCTCGATATTCCTAACTTAAATTTAAGCTAATTAGAAAGCTTTATTTCTAATTTGAGGCAGCTATTTGACTAAAAATTTAAAAAAAATAAGTCAAATTTAATAAAAATATATATTTAGTATATATACACATAAAAATATTTTGATACGCCGAAGTTTTAGTACACTCCGGTTTCTTAAAAACTTAATTAAACAATGCACAAAATTTTATGTTTTTTTTACTAAAAAAGTCACTGATCAGCTGTAATCAGCGTCTAAAAGCAGATCAGAATTTTGCCAAAAATTGTATAGCTATGTGTATATATGTCAGTTCTGCCTTGCGATTCTGTAACTCATTTTTCGACTGATTTGAGCGCGACCGCGCCGCTGCGAAAACCGCTGTGAGAGTTCGAAAAGTGAGTTACAGAATCGCAAGGCTGCTATAGTCTATGATCAGCAGGTTTAGAATAGGTATTAATAGAGATGCTTGTATCAACAGGTTTAACTACACAATACCAAAGAGTGTGTTACTGACCATAGAGTCTGAAGAGGACATTTGTGCTGTAATATCCATACAAAATAACTCGGTAAGAGTTGATTGGTATATACCATTTTTTTAATTTAAACAATTAAAGTTTTACCCCCGATATTGTTAAAAAGCCATGAGTTTGATAAAATTGATAGATAGTTTGCGTTTTGCATAAGTCACATTTAGCGGTTCTTGGGGTAATATTCAGAAACAGCCTAAGTCTGATATCCGGACGTCAAAAATGTATCGCATTTTGATATGAGTGTTGCGACTCTGAAGCCGCGTATCGACTACGCGCTCCAAGAGGGCGAACATTGGCGCGCGCTCCTGCCGCGCGCAATGGATACCACTTTGGAACGCGCGCCAATGTTTTCGTTGGAGCGCCCGAACGCGGAGCGGTCCGTTCCGACGGGTGTCGGTTTTTTACCACGCATCAATCGTGGCGCGCGCGCCAGTTGGGACGGATATATCGTATTTTTTTGTTTTTGTTGCGCTCCCAATTATGGATAACCAAAGTTGCCGTAAATTAATACAACTGTATGGTACAAAAGAACTACTGTGGAATAGCAAAAGTTCTTCGTATCATAATAAATCGCTTAGAGAAGATGCTTGGAGAGAAATCAGTAGTGAAATGGGAGTCCCTATGCCGGAATTAAAGAAAAAAATGACTGTGCTCCTATCATCGTACAGAAGAGAAAAATTGAGAGTATCTAAAAGCCAAATCACTGGCTCTGGCTTTTCTTGTTTATAATACTGTGAATAATTACAAAAGCTGCTGCTGACTGGCTTCCATGATGAAGTGTCGAACACTGGAACAGTTGCCACGCGCGCCAGGCGCGCTTAGTTGATATACTTCAAATATTTGGAACGCGTTTCACGGAACGCACTCTCGGTGCGGTCATTCATGGCGCGCGTGCCAGGAGCGCGTAATCGATACCCAGCTTAAACCAGTCGAGTTAAGCCCGAAAGTCAAACTTAAATCTAATTTAAAAAGTTGTCAAATTGTGAAATTGTCAAAATTTATGTGTGAAGTTTGACATATTTGACAGTAGATGAGTGATTTTAGACACGAATTAAATTATGAATCTTAGGGCTGAAAGTCACTCAAAGTTAAATCTAGTTTAAAGATCTGTTATTATTATTCTATCTGTTAATCTGTTGTTGTTTTGAGCATTACACAAAAGTCGGCCTTACAAAGATATTCTGGAACGTTAAATATTAGATTTCACGTATGTGTCCTACGGGTTAATAAGTTGTAATAAGTTAAGAATTTATAAAGGTAAAGTAGGTAAATTAAAAAAAATATTTTTTTTCAGTGTCCAGTGTTTGACAACGAAAAGGATGTAATGTATCAAGGATATCACTTCACAATGACGACTCGTGGAGGAATTACTGTTACCGTAAGTAGTAATTTTTTATATCTATTCGAAAAGAGTTGCCAGTAAACAATGTCTAAAAATATCTCTTTTTTTTTTGGATTCTACTTTTGATTTACTAGAAATAATGGATTCAAATTACTTCTAGTAATTTGAATTTAGAATATGAATGTTACTGGCTGTAAAGATATAAACGATTGTCACGCCAAAAAATCATTAGAAAAAACGCGCGAAATGCACTTTTTTTAAAAAATTTAACACGTATTTAATTTTTTCAGCAATCCATGTTCCCGAAAGGTTTCTATGTAGTGGTCATAGTAAAAGAGAGTGATGAGGAATGTACGGGTGTGAGTGAGACAGACGATGTCACTCTGTTTCGTCCTAAGGGCAGGTCCAAAACGTTTAGGTATGTTCAATTATTATCTGCAATTTATTAATAGTTTTTTTAAGTTGAGGTAATATTTAATGCTTGAAGTTCCTGGTGATGTATGGACTTAGGGTATGATTCAGGAGAATTTTCGTTTTAGACATACGATAATTTTAGTTTGCACTGTCGGATTAGTATCGCCACGTCCTGTTAGTTTAAGTGGGCAAAAGACCAAAAAGGTTTTAGAAAAACAACATGATTTTTTTTAGAAATTGGTTCACCACTCATTACGTGTAAAATGTATTTCGACCACATTTTTCTGGACTTTTTCCTTTATCCTGGTCAATTTAAATGTGCTTTTTTATACAGATTAAAGATTGTGGAAGCAGCGTCAACAAGTGATTTCCTAATGGGAGCATTAGCATCTCTAGCTTTGATTTTACTGGTGACTGCGCTTGCGCCGCTTGGAAACTTGCTTACCTGCCGACATGAAGGTAAATCAATATTTTACATAAATAGTGTAGTCTTATAGTAAATTTACAATAATTATTAAATTTTCAGAATTCATTTTAATTGAAGAATCGGTGGTGCCATCTACGTCTCGGGAGAGTGCTGAAGCTGAACCCATGGTCAGAAATATTAATGGTATGATATGATTTATAAATGTATGAAATAATTTTTTTTAATGTATAGCTCTCGTAGGCACTTTACGGTACAGATCCTCCGAACGAATGTTTAACACTAACTCAGGCACAGGCACTTGCGCCGCGCATTGCGAGCCACTTGTCAGACCGATGTTGCTATTTCATGAATGACAGTTGACACGTCTTGTCTATGTTGGATCAGAGACAAAATCACTTTTCGACAGGCGTGACCTACTAACGCTAAACGATTTTTATGGGGATGACATTAGCTCACGATTTGTCACGTGACCGTTTTCATACAAATTCGATTGGGGTTAATGAGTCACGATTGTAAAGGTATTTTGTATCAAACCTCTGGTGTAGAATTCAGTAGCACAATTGAATAGAGTTGTTCTATCCATCTCTAGAAAGAAAGAAAAACCTTTATAACACATACTAAAAAAGGATGTTTAGTTAAAAGACAGAGTCAAAAAAAAATCAAAAAGTCAAAAATCATTTATTCATGTAGGTAACACAATGTACACTTGTAAACGTCAAAAAAAAAGAAATATTCATTAAATGCTTCTAATTTTACATTTACTGCCAGTTTTCAAATCGGAAGAGAAGGACTGGCAATGAACTCTCCGCCACTTTTTTTAATCGCCAAGTTTTTTGTTTTACACAACGTTTGTAAGGAGCTGCAACAGGACATCTTAAGTAATACATAATAATAAAATAAATTAAAAACAAGATGAAGAGAAGTTTTGTCCTCTATCAGCAGAAGCATGGTGAAATAGGAGCACGCACTTACATTCTCGTGGGAACAACACGCAAAGACATAGTCGAAACTACTAACATCACCGCATACACGTATTCAAGTACGACCAGTCACCACAAGTAGCACCCGTTCACGAGTATGACGCATGGCCAGCCATCGGCCCAGCCTCGCCATATTTTAGGGAGAGAGACAACCCCACGCATGGACGAGTGCACTAGCCCCCCACACTAAGATTCCCTATGTCGCGGGTAGCTTGTCTTTTCCATATTAAAAGTATTTAAATTAATGATTAAATTTTAGTTTCGGACACCGAGTCGGAGGATGATGTTATAGTAAAATCGCTTCCCATACCACTTAATGTAGCTGGTTTGAGTCGTCACAACACGCATAGTAGGAAATCTAATAGGTAAGTTACATGCTCATATACAATGCAGATTTAAAAAAATATGATTTTGTAATTAAATGCGTTTTTTTATATAGCAGGAGGCTTACGTGATGTTAAGTGATACCGCCGCCCATAGACAGTAGACACGTAACATTGCGTTGATAGATTGATGATAGATTTGAAAAATAGGGACTTTTATGATTCAAAAGTAGCACTGACCTTTTAGGTCTGGGCCTCAGATTAAAATAAACAAGTAGGTCGAGTTTTCGGGTATTAGGCATGCCGGTTTCTTAGCGCCAGTGTTAAATGCACACAGAGATTGGTGCACAGCCGGGTTCGAACCTACGACCTCGGGGATGAGTTGCACGCTGAAGCCTATTCTTCTTCCTATCGGTGCACTCTAGACAGAGCGGTCGTGATCGCTATGAAGTAGTGGTAATATAAGGGGAAGATGTGATGCGCTTCACGACGTTTCGCCATCGTTGCCTATTAGAGGTCATCCTGCTGCACTGATTGAGTGAATCTCCTACGGCAGACTTGATTTGGTCGGTCCAACGCGTAGGTTTCGCGCGGTCTATTGCCTTCCACCTTCCCCTGGACGACAAGGCGTTCTATGGACTGATCACCACGCCGAAGCCTATTATGATTGTGTAATTATTTTTTTAGATATTTCTGGAGTGCATTAACCGTAGCGGTCGTTTACGCTTTACCAGTTGTTCAACTATTGCTCACATATCAAAGAGTAAGTCATAATACTACAATTCTCTTAGTTACTTTTATTTAATTGTATATTGTCTGTGGAATGCTTTCAATTAAAGAAGTTGACGAATCAGCAAGGAAGGTGTATATTGGTCTTGTATCTTATTCAAAACTTTTTATGTTATCACTGTACGAAGTTTCTTAAGTACGACTTGTGTCTGTTAGATGTTTTTGACATACGATATTAAACTTAACGTTTAGTCTCGAATCTGAATCTTTCGTGAAGTCTTTGGTGAATAATACTTTGTGACAAAATTGGATCTAATTTTTATATACAACTAGCTGACCGGGCAAACGTTGTGCGATATATATCATTTATAATAAAATAATAGGGGTTGATCGTAGAGGGGTGAAAGTTAGGGGTTTGTATGTATTTTTTAATGCTGTATCATAAAAAAATAAAAACAGAAAAAAATATCTAAAACTAAAAAAAAATATTTAGGGGTGGACTACCCTTAACATTTAGGGGGATGAAAAATAGATGTTGTCCGATTCTCAGATAAACCAATATGCACACAAAATTTCATGAGAATCGGTCGAGCCGTTTTGGAGGAGTATGGCAACGAAAACTGTGACACGAGAATTTTATATATTAGATTATACATAGATGAATTACTTATTTTAGAGATTTAAGATTGGCCTGCAGGCACATGTTAGAACTATTTTTTTTTAGATGGTGTTCCAAACAGGCGATCAAGATGTTTGCTACTATAACTACCTCTGCGCACATCCAATAGGCCCCTTAGCAGATTTCAACCACGTTTACTCAAATATCGGCTACATCATTTTGGGTATAGCATTTATGGTGCAAGCGAGATGCAGACATGTCAAGTTGGGGGAGAGTCAGGTACGTTCCAAAGCTTCTGATAATTTTTAACTTATTGACCCTTTGCAGCTTTTTTTGGAGCCCGGGTGGACACATTATAGATTTTAATAGTAATTTTAAAATATTTAGGCGCCTAACAATACGGATTAGACTTGATAGGCACTTAACAACGCTTTTTGTTTGATCAGCCAACTACCGAATATTTATTTATTTTTATATTAAATTAATATATTTTATTATAATCATAAAGGTGTATGTTGTTCTTTCAAATTGCATTTGGCCTATCAACATTCTTATGCGACATTGTAACGACTCTTAAGAACATAGAACAGAAATCGTTTATTAGGTTATAAATTAATAACGTCTAATCGTCTATAATTATCGTCTGTAATTATACAATAAGTATGTTGAAAAAGCTTCAATGAACCAGTTCTTAATAAATAACGCCGACACGAGATTATGCTTTTGTTTTGACGTGTCGAATGTGATCTATTAACTTGGGCCATAAGGGTGAGTTTCAGAAAGATTAAGCGCCGATTTTGACACACAAGAGTCCAATTTGACCTACGGGATTCAGACTTAACGCTTATTGTCGTCTAAATCCCTCTCTATAAATCTAAATACATACTATAAACAAATGAAATTGTCTGGTTAAAAAAATTTTTAATGTAGAAATTGCTTTTAGTTACTTACATGCTGTCTATCTGATATCAGCTTTCCTGAAACATATTTTATTTTAGGAGTTAGGTATACCCCAACACCTGGGACTGTTCTACTCCATGGGCCTGGCGTTAGCGATGGAAGGTCTTCTATCAGCCTGCTACCATCTGTGTCCTAATAAGATGAACTTTCAATTCGGTGAGTGTAAATTGTTTGCCTCCAGCTGATCATTTAACGGGAAATAGTATTACGGGAAAATACAGATGTAAAGGAAAAGCAACCTTATTTTTATGCTGATAAAGTTTATTTTCATTCAACTTCGAGTTTAATGTAATAAAAGTTTAATAATGAGTTATGAATTCTGGCTAAAAACTGTTATTTTTTTTCAGACTCGTCATTCATGTACGTAATAGCTGTGCTGTGTATGGTGAAACTTTACCAATCGCGACACCCCGATGTCAATGCGTCTGCGCACGCTACTTTTATGTTGCTAGCGTTACTTATGGCTATCGGTAAGTTTTAATACAATATTAAACTATGTCCGATAAAAGAGCAGTTTAATTGATCGATATCCTTATTTACAGCTCTTTTAGACTATCTTAACAGTCTTCTTAAGAATAGATAGTGTAAAAATTTAACATACAATTGTAAGTATATAAAATAAACTCAGATGCCTGAATGCATTTCGTGATCATATGTTTTTTCTGAATGACATTAAGATTTGACATAAACGCCCTCAACTTTTGGGGTCTAAGGCATGCCTTACGATGTCATACGTTCCTGTTCCAGCGAGTGTTATTTGCGCGCATAGACAGAACGTCCAATGGCCAATTTAATAAACAGGTAAAGTTTGTAAGGTTAGTTCTCTGGATCTACTCAACCGATTTTGAATTTTTTACCAATAGAGCCATGTTATTTGTGAGTGTCTAAAGCTATATTAACCCAAAAAATGAAGACTTTCTCGTGGTAGTCAGATTTGCAAAGTCGGAGGAAAAAGGATGAATTTGATGATTTCTTACAAACGGTCAACGAATATATGATTTAGTTCTAAAGAAAAGTTGTAGAGCTTGATAATGCCTACAATAAAGTAAGCGACAGTGTATGTATGTCTAATTTTTATATTTAAGTCACAAAATGCAGTCAGCTAACATTCAATAAATAGACTATCTATCTTAATCTCTAACATATATTCTTTTATATATTATTTCGCAATAACACATACAAATACAATTCCGTACTACATGGTGAAGTACGGAAGCTTTTATAGATATGTCATTTTAGAAAGGATTTTTATTACAGGATTCTTCGGGATAATGTACCCCAGCGTGTATTTTTGGGTCAGCTTCACAATAATGCATCTCGCTATCTGTTTCGTGTTCACATTCAAGATATACTATGTTGGGCGGTTTAAAATGGGTATGTCATATTCATTGAACTTATTGCAACTTTAATCATCAGTATTTTAGCCACAAACACGACCTACAGAGTTATTGTTAATAGTTTGAGAATATTTAATTGTTAGTAACGTATTTTATTTAATATTAAAAAACATTTTAATTGAAGCTTGGATAGTAGCAATTTCACGTTTTACTCACCAAGCACATATTATTATGAAAAAAAATCAATTGATTCCAGAAGAATCATATACTAATAATAATCCAGTGGCGCTACAACTATTGGCCTCTTGGCCTCAGATTGCATCCGTTTGTTTAATAATTTTGTTTTTTATAGAGAAGTAGGTGATCGGCCCTCTATGTCTGACACATGTGCTTGAGACATGCGGGTTAGTGTTAATTAGGCGTTTGTTGAGGGCCATACTAAATAAGCCAACACAGCTTCAATCATAGGATTTTAATATTACAGAGCGAGCAATATTGCCCCGTGCGTGGTACAGTATGCGCCAACATGGCTGGCTGGCCTTCAAACCTAACTACACAGCGCGCGCAGTTCTGCTTGTAATTGCCAATATGGCAAACATTGCACTTGCTGCTTATGGGTGAGATTTTATCCCATATGTTATTTATTTATTTATTTATTTATTCCCAAAAGCTCACAATATCCTTACAGTACTAAACCAATTCGAAGTCGAAATTAAAAAAAATATATTTTTATTATTAAAAACATAAGGTAAACAATATCGCTACTGTGTCACTCAGCGAATATAAAGATGTCGATAGTGTCGAAGACAGCATTTAGTAAACGCAACGTTAAAATTTGCGGGTAGATTCGCAAGTATTTTGTAATCAGACATTTTTACGTTTCATTGATAATTATACCGTGTGATCTTTCTGACATTCAATATGAAACGGTGAAATAAAATTATTATTTAACTTGCTATCAAACCCTGGAAACTTGTTTACTAAACGTACTATTTAAACGACAACGTTTATAACAAGCAGTTTCCAAATAAAACCCAAGCAGACTATGATTTAAATCTTAATTTTAAATATTCGCCCCCCCTTTTTTTTTCCCCCCCCCCCCCCCCCCCCCCCCCCCCCCCCCCCCCCCCTTCCCCCCCCCCGGGGGGGTTTTTTTCTCCCCCAAATTTTTTTTTTTAATATAAATTATTTGTTTATTCTAACAGTGCACTGTTTGCAACTTCCGCTACATTTAATGGCATTGTGTAAAAAAGTTCCCAAATATCTTGTTTTCCCCGACTCCCTTAAACTACTTTACTACGATGTCATAATATTAAAGTGTGTGTGTGGTCAGGCTAGCGACGCGATTGGAGTTTCCCCTTTACGAACGATAAAATGGCGATAATGTTCTGTGGCTGTCGACCATATTGGTTGATACTAAAGGTGGTAAGAATATATGTTTGATATAACTTAAATGTTTGTAGTAGTAATAAAACGACTTATCATCTTAGATTTCTTTATACCGCTTAGTAAGGGAAGAATAAGAATGAACAACTTTTATTTTATTCACTGACCATACTATTGACAAAACTCTTTGGCCCGCAAGGCCATCTTTTTTTTTTTTTTTCCCCTTTTCCCCTTTTTTTTTTTTTTTTGTGTTTTTTTTTTTTTTTTTTTTAAAAAAAAAATTTTTTTTTTAATTATTCATTTTTTTTTTTTGTCTCATTATTTGATTCACAATTTTTTTCTAACATATGGCGCTGTGTTTGCAAATAACGCCTCAACGTTTCACATAACGCTTCGTGTTACAATTTTACTCCTCATAAATTTCCGTACCGGGCCAAACAATCGTTTCTTAAAGAAATCTATGTTTGCGTCTCTATGACTGGTGTTCTTGATTTTACTCCTCATAAAATTTCCTCGGGCTTAACTCAAATCGTTTCTTAAGGAGCTATATGTTTGTCTCTTTCCCTTAAAGAGTTAACTTCTCGTGTTAACATAACCCTCAACTTTTCGTGTTACACTATCCTCATAAAATTTCCGTACCGGGCCTTATAACTCAAATCGTTTCTAAGGAGAACTCCAAAAACTTAGCCACAGCAACGCTTGGCCGAGTCTGCTAGTATGATTATAAAATAATTTTTAACCTACCCGCATTTTCAACAACAAATTATTTTGCAGCCTCTACGAACACAATAAAGACTTTGCCCGACACCTTTTGGCCATATTAATGGGAAATACTATCTTATATAACGTCAGCTATGTAGTCATGAAGATAGTACATAGGGAGCATATACCGGCTGCTGCGTGGTTATGGCTTGCTCTTGCGCATATAGTATGGGGTGTTGCCGCATATCTATTTCTGAGTTCAAGGACTAAGTGGTCGGTGAGTGTGGTTCATTCTATATTTTTCTTTATGGTTTGTATCTTCTAATTTGCTCTGGTTTTTCGTAATAGTTGATAAATAACTTTTTGTTTTTGTTATTCCGGAAGTGAGAACCCTGGTTTTGACTGCGTTACATTCAGTCGAGCTGGAGCTTTGTGTGGTTTAAATATTGTAATTTTTTGAATTAATATATAATTAAGTTATTCAAATACTTGATTATATTAATATTTAATCTTATATTTTAATTTAATTCCCGTAACCCTTAAATGAAACATAAAACACTGACATTACTGCGTTTGTTTCACTTATAAATTTTCAATTTCCCCTTTTTGGATATCCGAGGTGGTCTTTGCGCATGTCCCCGAAATTAGTAGGGGTATGTGATACCCGATCCACATTAAATCTCTGCTATTCAGAGACTGGGTTAGCAATACCCACTAAAACCACCTCCGGTAGTTCCTACAAGATCTCGTGTGTGGATAGTATCGCCTAAAACGGAATTATTATCTCCTTATTTTAAAATTTGCAAAAATAAAAATGTATGTAAAATATGTTCAGCAAACGCCAGCTCAGTCCCGCCAGCACAACGACATGTGTGACGCAATGCGCGTGTTCGACACACATGATCTGTGGCACCTTGCTTCTGCAGCCGCCATGTTTTTCTCGTTCAACGCGCTTTTAATACTTGATGAGCCCCTTCAAAACACACCAAGGCATCTTATACCAGTGTTTTAAGTGAATATTACAAATCGATTTATTTGAAATAATTTCAAGAAATGTATCTCTAAAAGCCAGTTATTAGAATACAAATGCAGTAATTCCCCCAATAATGCTCTTTCATATAACGCCATTTCCGTTCCCCATATAATTCGGTATTTCCCCCTCTATAACGCGGAGATTTCTCAATTTATATTACTGTAGTGTGAATTTTATAATGATTAATCAAGTCCATAATTAGTTTTGCGTAGTTTGGCACTTGTTTCAACTGTGTTCATAGTTTTTGAGTTGTTCAAAAAAACGGTTTTACGAAAATACTCTTTTAAGGCGATTTCCTATAATGCGGCCCGGGTCTATAGCGTTATAGGAGGGATTACTGTACAACAGAACAAATATGATACAAAAAATATGGTGTAATTACTGTTAGTCAAAAGCGTTGAAGTAATCGTGATTCTAAAAACTGAAATAAAAAAATAATACGAATCGTGAAGTAAAAAGCCATTTTCAAGGAATTGACTTGATGAATGAACTGAAATGTAAACTATGCCTCACTAACGCCTGATTTCTATATCTATATAGAACCTGTTAAGTCGAAAACCTTCAAAACTCGAAATAAAAAATTGTGTTCCCTTCCTCCAAACTGCCTTTACTCGAAATCTTATCCTTCCATTTGTCGAAATAATCCTGTCCCTGAGCAAGCCGTTTTGCTACATATTTTGCCTCTAAAACTCGGACCTCTGTATCTCGAACATAACAAATAATTTGCTACCTATATAACTCGATAATTTGAAACGCATTACGTCTTTCGCTGAAATAAATTATCGAAGAGGTTTGCCATAATTTAAAAAATAATTTAGGAGTATAAAATTCTTCATAAGTCGATAACTATATATAACCAAATAATATACGAGTATTTACCTATAAAACTATATCTTTTTTGGCGTTTCCCTTGATGTTTGAGTTCGAGGTTCTACTGTGTTCCAGTTATTACTATTCCAATTACATAATTCAAACGGCTTGTAACAGTTATCACTTGTATCTCAGATATAGAAACCGGACGTTAGTTCTATATTTTACAATAAGTAAAAATGCATTGATAATAATTAATAAACTTTAACGGTGCTTATAAGGCATAAGTGTAAAGTTAACTTAAAAGTGATTCATATTTAATAAATTATTATTTATTGTTTACCAAATTATAAAAGATAATCTAACCTATAGTATAGCGCCTGGGGGTTTTCACCTCGGATTAGAGTTACAGTGAATGAATTAATATGATCGATGTGGGATATTGTTTTTAAAACTATAAATTGCAATGTTTACCCAAAATTTTTTGTGCACTCCATTGTTATAATTTAAAAAAAAATTATAACAAAATTATGAAAAATTAATGTTTGACCATATATTTTCACTTTAAACAGTATTTTATTTTATTTATATGTTAAATCTTACCTGAGTAGATATATAGGAACATTTTTCAAAGATACCTGTGTATAAAAATAGCAGTAGGGATCTCGAAAACAGCATGAGAGCGGAGCGACAGCTGCTATGTACAATGGAATTTCTCGGCCAGTTTAGTTGCAAGTAACACGTGTTCTGTGAATATTGTGCTTCTATAACAGTAAAATTTGTTTTTTTGTGAAAAATTCTTGTATATTTTTGTACTGGAAGGTATATTGATGACGACGTTTTTTATATTGAACGTTTTATCTCACACACTGTTTTATTGTGTTTTTTATATTATTTTTATTACTCTTTAATGTATAATATTCTACGGTTTCGATATTTGTAAATATGTGAGGAACATGTATACTAATTTTTTTAGTATAGTAGTTTTATTCTAAGAGTACATTGTCTTCACATATAATTATTTAACTAATGTAAACAAAATATTGTAAACCTATTTTAAAAGAGTAAGTGTGGAGTTTCTTGCCCATTCTTCTCCACACGAAACTACCTTTTGGAAGGGGCAACTAGAATCTTCTTTGTATTTTGTTTGACGTTAAAAAGTGCCATTTAAGGTGGTCTAATTGAAATAAATGATTTAAAACAATCCCGAGGCAAAGTTCAACAGAAGATATTTTCATCGAAATGTTTAGAAAAATCATTACCAAATTGTAAAGAACATATTCTTTTTTTACATGCCTTTACGGGTTGTGACACTACTTCTGCGTTTTTCAATAAAGGAAAAATTAAGTTTGCCAAAAATTTTGAGAAACGGATTAATTTACACGACTCAGTAAAAGTATTTGAAAATATCAATGAAGACCCCATTAATATATTGCAAGCAGGTGTAGCATGTATTTTGAGTTTATATGGAGCTCCGTCTAAAACTCAAGATTTAAATACATTGAGGTTCAATTCTTTCATAAAAGCAATAGCCAAAAATACGAGTGTTCTTTTGTCATCACTGCCACCAACAACTGATGCAGCGTTTGAGCACCTTAAAAGAGTGTACCTACAAATTCAGATATGGCTTGGAAATGACGTAGTCTATATGTCTACTCAAGATTTAACATATAAATAAAATAAAATACTGTTTAAAGTGAAAATATATGGTCAAACATTAATTTTTCATATTTTTTTTTTTTAAATTATAACAATGGAGTGCACAAAAAAATTTTGGTTAAACATTGCAATTTATAGTTTAAAAAACAATATCCCACATCAATCATATTAATTCATTCGCTGTAATTCTAATCCGAGGTTTTACGGTTCTGAATGCTCCGGGCTAGTAATGTCATGAAATTCACGAAGTAAACAGCCATGCAAATGACGTAATACTAATTATGAATATTATTTGTATTTTAAGATATCTAAGCAATTGTCTAGTTATAGTCGGTATTAAACTGGAATTAGAAAATGTATTTCGTGTTATACAATGTGTTGGAGACAATACGATTTGTGTATCAATTACAAATATTGCCTTCTTTTTTACTTTGTACTTTCTAATACTGTGTTCTGGGATTAATTTAGAATTCAAAGTAATGTCGCCATGACTGTATATAAAAAAATATTATTTTGTTATATTTCGAGATATTTTATAATGTATTATTATTGTATAATTACGATAAATTGTGGTTAGAACATTAGGTAATACTTACGATTCCTATTAATTTTATTTACATGTATGAACAATTTTTTTGTCTCATTTTATCATATATATGTAGTAACTTAAGTTTTCTGGACCAAACTACGTAGTTTTAAATCCTTTAATATTGTCAAAAACTTTCCAGTGAACAAACTTTCCACAGAATAAAGGTTTAAAATATAGCTTCTACCGTACTAAATTCTCAATTTACGCATTTACGCCTTTAGTACACCTACGCAATCGCATGCGGCAGCGAAACGACGAAAAAACTGTAAGTTGTATGGCAACGTTTCGCATGTGTTTGGTCTCGCTCTGATATATAGCTAGATGAAATAGTTGCGTCCTTGTCGGTATTGTTTCGCAACTAACTGCGAAATGGTTGTTACACAGACGCAGACGTTTCGCTAATGAAGTTTCGCATCGCAAGGCGTCACCACGCGTTCTGTCAGTGAGGACAGAATTTCGCACAATGGAAGCCGAAAATATTGAATTATTAATGAATTTGATTCGAAATTATCCCGAATTATATTTAGTTGGGCATGTTGATTACAAAATCTTCTTCAGAATCTGAAAGCGACGACTGGGACGACTCAGATGACATTCTGAAACATTCTGACGTCTGCACCTACAGCCCACGAAAGCTACAATGACATATCCTTGCGAAAAACCTGCAGTGTACTAACGTTCCGCAGATATTTCGCTACCGCAATTGTTTCGCAAAGATTCGCAGCCGCATACGAACGCGTAGGTGTACTAAAGGCGTTAGTACACCTACGCAATCGCATGCGGCAGCGAAACGACGAAAAAACTGTGAGTTGTATGGCAACGTTTCGCATGTGTTTTGTCTCGCTCTATTATATAGCTAGATGAAATAGTTGCGTCCTTGTCGGTATTGTTTCGCAAGTAACTGCGAAATGGCTGTTACACAGACGCAGCCGTTTCGCTAGCGGAGTTTCGCATCGCAATGCGTCACCACGCGTTCTGTCAGTGAGGACAGAATTTCGCACAATGGAAGCCGAAAATATTGAATTATTATTAAATTTGATTCGAAATTATCCCGAATTATATTTAGTTGGGCATGTTAATTACAAAAATACATTCATTAATTTTAATTACATTCTGAAACGACGTCTGCACCTACAGCCCACGAAAGCTACAATGACATTTCATTGCGAAAAAACTGCAGTGTACTAACGTTCCGCAGATATTTCGCTACCGCAATTATTTCGCAAAGACTCGCAGCCGCATACGAACGCGTAGGTGTACTAAAGGCGTTAATGTCTCAAGTTATATAATAATCAAGTTATTGAGGACTATAGTAATTAGTAACGTTTATGAATGTATTAACCTTTTAGAAAATAGTAAATGCCTATGAATTAAAATGATTATTATTGTTTAGATTTAGTGATTTTGAAATAAATTGTTTTTTTTATTTTACCCATTTTTATTAGCAACACAGTTTGTAAGCTGTGCTGCTGTATTTTGCAACATCTTTTTTAAGATTCTAAACGAGAAGCAAAACTCAATCGTAAATGACTCCCATATAACAAAATTGGGTTTGACTTTGCCAAAGGGAAATTATTATAATATTTCGAATCGCACGGTCCTATTGAGCGGACTTCGGACTAAAGACTTAGCGAATATAAAATTACTTCTAACATTGAATCTTCAACAGTAAAATTGTATGAGTGGATGGATCTACATAATTTCAAAGGTAAAGGTTTTTGATTGATTTCATATGTCAACCGTCTAAGATAAGAATGTCGTCCTCGCATTTCTCCGTATGAGGACCGATCTAGATGAATGACGTAACAAATGAATCGGTTACGAAATTAAATATATAACCGTTTAATAAATTCAGCAGTGTTGTAGCAAAGCCTAGTGGCTTTTGCGTGCGACTCTCATACCTGAGATCGTAGGTTCGATCCCCGGCTGTGCACCAATGTACTTTCTTTCTATGTGCGCATTTAACATTTGGTCGAATGATGAAGGAAAACATCGTGAGGAAACCGACATGTCTTAGACCCAAAAAGACGACGGCGTGTGGCAGGCACTGGAGGCTGATCACCTACTTGCCTATTAGATTTTGAAATGATCATGAAACAGATTCAGAAATCTAAGGCGAAGACCTAAAGACGTGGTAGCGCCACTGATTTATTTTATTTTTAATAAATGGATGATAATTGAAGGCTGGCGATTTGTAAAACAAGAACCTAACATAACATCAACATTTTGGATGTTGTTGATTCATAACATTTTCATACAATAAAATTTCGTATAATTGAAACAATATGAGGTCTAATTCTAGGTTAAAACTAATTCAAATAGGAAACAACATTGATTTGGTGCTGTAAAGTTGTTATACAAAAAGGAATTTAACGTAACAAAAATCACCATTAAAATGAATAAGTACATCGAATCTTTAGGTATATTATTCTCTAGATATGGAGGTTATCGGAATTTGAACTGATACCGAAATGGAATCTCAATTTTGTTGCTAGTTTTATTAGGTACTACTACCTATATCCGTTAATTTAAGATAAAGGTAGTTCTACTCACGATGGAAATAGGACCATAAGTGCATCTAATTTTGTTTTGTTTTATATGCTATAAACAGTGATCAAGATTACAATAATCCAATCTTTAACTTGTCATACATTATAATAATATATATTGATTATATAGCAGGTTTTCTGTATTCGATAGACAGGGAAGTGAGGACATGTTCCTACATGGAAAGTGAAAAGTAATCTAAGACTTGCATTTGAGTTTATGTTCTTTATTCGAAAATTAAAAAAAAAGTATAACTTTTATGTGTATCATATCATGTATATTAATTAAACTATTCAACATAAACTTAATCATATTTCAATCTCAAAAAGGACTGTCGATCTTTTTCTTCCCGTTTAGAGACATCACAAAGTCGTTAAACGTCTCATATAATCATCACAATAGCAGTTAAGTACTTAAAACTAAAATTAGATTACAAATAAATCGTCTGACTGATAACGGCTTATAAGCAAAATCGGTTTTAAGACAATTTATTTATGCCCGTTGATGATGCACTTCAATGGATGTCGGGTAGTAATAATTATAATTATTGTCTTTCGTAAATTTTCATGGTGGGATTTTTTTTGTTGCAAGTCATCCGACCTAATCGAAGTTACGGATCTACCGATAAATCACAACTCTAAAGTAATTTATATTTGACCTTTTCGTCAATGAAAATTAGTATGAGTCAGTTAACTAATTTTAGCGCTTTTTAAAGCATAATGCACTGTGCACATTATAGCGAACAAAGACTTTTGCCCACCGCAGACACGATCCGGAATAAGTTAAATATGCAAGAATTAATTACGACTTTGTTGCAATTGTGGAGGAAGGGCGGTGTGTGCTTCCTCCGCTCTAAGGGGAGGATCCTGGAGCAAAGTAACCAGTGTTTAGATTGCCTCCACAGGACCTTAGAGAAGTTCTATATAATATCCTGAGCGCGATTCAGGGCATACCCTAATTGCGACGTTATGACGTCACCGTTGTAGCCGTAGATTGAAAGTGTCGCTACACACTTTCCCGCTTAATGGGAATTTGTATAAATGTTAAAAGGAGTACTATAAATTCAGGCCTCTTTGTGTATAGCTATACTAATTAATTAATTAATTTTTGCGGAACTTTTAGGTATCCAAAGGTATAGCAAATTTCATAAATTTTGCAAGTAGCTGCATAAGTCTGGCGCTAAACGAAGGTTATAATAGTGTGATGTAGTAATCAAATCAATTCGAATTTGAATTCGAATTTGAATTCAATTCAAATAATTTCTGGTGTATATTACCCTAAAAATGTTCTGCCCCAAATCAAAATGATTCTGGATTTTAAGCAAGTATTTATATTATTCTATACACTATATAGTGTCGGTGACAAAATTATTTGTCTGCGGTGGTCTACAATATCGAATGCACTGCGTGACCTACATAGTAAGCGATAGGTAAGCGATGACCTAGCTACTATAGGGATAGTCGATGCCCTACTGGCATACTTCTAAAACCGCGCATGCTCCCGGAAAATGAATGGGCCTAGCCACGCCAGTTACCGGGAAACCCAACTTCCTTTTTCCGCTGGAAGATTTCTCCCATAAAATACACTGTATAAATTGTTTTTCTTATTATCGGGTTATTGATATTACCTAATAACTGATGAAAACTGTGTACTTAAAAAAATTAAGACTCCAATAAATAATTGTTTTATATTTTAGAACGTCGTCTAATTTCATACTAATTGCAAGTTAAAACTATTTCCCATTTTATTGGTAATTTTGAAAGATTTTAACTGGTAACATCAATTTGTTGTTTCACTTGAAGAAAAATGGCCGTCGAACGTAACGTCAAAACTCCTTGGTGTATCAACGAAAACGTGTGATTATTTTCACGTAAATCGAAGCGAATTATCGTGAGTTACGGCTAAGTGACGTGCTAGTGTTTGTGTTTTATTATTCATCGGACTATTTAGTAAATGGTGGCGTACGACTTACAATTGCACAGGCGAATTTGATGCACAGTATGTATTTTTTATTTATTTCTTTACTAATCGCTCTTTATCAACGCGTAATCGATTAATGGATGTCAGAAACATCATAAACATTAAAACAAGTAGCCTTTGATCAAAGTAGGAATCCTTGATATCATGATGTGTCATACACTTTAAATAGATTATGAAAAAACTTACTTTTTTAACTTGATTTAGAAATCGAATGACTTTCAAAACACTGATATTTATTTAAAAAGACGTTCTTAATATTACAAAAGAGTGGTGACTGATACATGATTCAATGGCAATTGCGTTTCCTGGGTAAAACAAAGTGAATCAGTCAGTCATTATTTTTAATCATAGGAAGTAACACTTGTTAGGGAAACAGTTTATTTCCTCTACTAATAAGCATTGATAATAATTTTTGCAAATCACTTCAAAAGAGGCATCATCTATTGTCACATGTATTCAGTATAAAAATATTTTCTTTTTACATATTAAATAAATTTAAAAAACGTCACTGAAATTAAGAGAAAACTTAGGAAGAACTAAGAATTAGGAAGTTGAAATGAAAGATTTTTTACTTTTTCATCAAGATAACATTTTCATAAGGTATGTTCTTGTTTACATACAGTATTTTATTTGTATTAATACTAATTACAATTATTTGGTTTTACTAATAATCTATCTAGGGAGCCTCAAGGTACGGTAAATTCACTTTTGGTCTTCACAATTTTTAAGAATAAATAAACCCAAAGCTACTTGCTCAAAACTGGGAATAATATTATGTACCCTATAGAAATCTATATCGCCAGTGAAAAACAAAGCTTATATTTAAGAAAGCCATGTTTCTTTCAAAAGGAGCTTTCTTTAGAACTAGGTATGACAATACAATGTTTTATTAATTTAATGATTGTCGTTGATGAGATTTTTCAAGAATAGCTTACTATATCTATTTAAAATTAAGCTATGACAGATACAGCATTAGTCATTATCAAATTAAGTATGTTACTCAGCTTAAGCATTGTGTATATATTATGTTAATACTATATGCATTGCAATTAAATGTTAGTTGGAAAATAGTCACTCATGTAAAACACTCCAATAGAAACCTCCATCAAATGCAATTGTCCCATTGTATCACACAACACCACCCCACCCGCTGTCGGCCACTGTTTATGTTTCCATAAATAATTTATCTGTTACTTCTAATTTTAAGAACAGATGTAATATGTCTCCAAAGTTATAGGTGTCATAGGTGGTGTATTAAACATAGCTCTGTGTTCAGATGTGAGGGCGCGGTGATGTGGGGCGAGCAGGCCGGCTGGTGGTGCGGCGCGCTGGCGGCCGCGCTGCTTGTGCTCCTGGCTATCTGTCGACGCGCCGTTAAAAAGGCGCCCGACCACGGAGCATTGCAAGTTACGCAGGTGAGAAAGTGAAGTAGTTTTAACTGCTATAATCATATTAATATGAAGGTTGCATAAAATATATATATATAAAGTGCTAGTAAAAAAGGAGTTCGTATCAAAATGGTACAATCTGTGAGCTTGATATTACTACATAGATAATTTATTAAACATTTATTCACAATACTAAAAATAAAAGAAATGTTGGTCAGACTAGCTTATATATGTTAAATATTTAATATTACTTTGACCATTCCAGGTTCACATAGTCTACGACGGAGCGACGCGTTTTTCCCGCACAGCCCGACTTCCTTTCGCCCGCGCCGCACTCACCACCGCGCCTGCGCCCCCGCACACACTCGCACATAAGTCTACACAGGCCAAACCTACTCCAACACAGATAATCATTGTACAGAACTTCACACAAAACACAGTACCTCACGGCACAGAACAACAACCCTCCAGCTCAAAGGGACCCAGACATCCAGCTCCCGCATTTCGAGGCATACCTAAATTACCCCTGCCTGAACAGTGGATACATAAACGGCCATTTGAATTCAAATACGCGGCGTTACCCCGACCCTTAGCGCAAATCGTCAACACAGAATTAGGCGTTGATTTGTCGCGAGATACACGCGCGAAGAAATACAGCGCCACTAGATCTCCATCCCTTGAGAAAGACGAAAAATCTCCGTTTATAACTAGCGCGAAATCCGATAAGTCAGACGTGTTTGGTTTCGATCCAGACGCTTTAAAAAAATTGTGCGAAGCAGCTGAAGATTTGAAGGAAATGGGGGAAAGACCACCAAATTCTCCGCGGGATGTCGATAAAGATATCTCACCCGGTAACCTTCGAAGGTTCAGATCTGTAAGCACGAGACTTAATATGTGCAGTTGCAATGAAACTCCGCCATTGGATGGCCAACAAGAGAAATCGGAAATACAAAACTCTCCGCGTTTATTAGAATGCAGTTCGGCAAAAGAAAAGTCATCTGCAACAAAGTTTGACTTCTCACCGAAACTCTTAGCAGAAAATATCAGTTCTCCCCGTTTTTTTACTCCCCCAGAAATGGTCTCACCAATGTTCTTTGCTGAACCATCCCCAAAATCGGTTTACTATGATACTGTTAGATCGCCAAAATTCTTTCCTGAAACCCCACGAGAAGTAGAAGTTCCTCAGTCGCCAAGGTTGTTAAGTGACAACGTACGAACAAATGGATTAGCTGAAAAGCCAAATTCTCCGAAAATTCTTAGTGCTAGACCTAGCCCTAGAGTTCCTAGCTATAATAAAGAAAACTACTTCACATTTGACAATGTAAGTATCGTTGAAGAAAGTGCTGCTAGAATCTCTCCAAGGCCGAAAAAATATGGTGGTAGAAACTCCATAGAACGAGAACGATTTACGCCACCAGCTGTTGATAAAGAAATTAAAAAGTACAGAAGGCATAATAGCTGTGATACTAATTATAAAAATGTCAGAGTAAACATTCAGAAATTGGACGAACCAAATACTGATTCTTCAAATACTATTACAGTTATTGAAAAAGATGTCGTAGATTGTTGTGCCAAAGTAGATTGTCTCGATATGGAAACAAAAGTTAATCAAGAGTCAGAAAAATACGAATTAACACCTAATTTGAACACAGCATACGCAAGGCGCCAAAGATTAAAATCGATTTCTCTAGATTCTGATAACGCCAAAATCATTGAACAAAACCTTGGCTTACCTATCGCAAAGCAAATGAAAGATCAAATGAATGAAGCTTATAAAAATCAAGATATTAGTACGTCTTGCGAAGATGTTGAGCGTTTTCCAAAAACTCCATGTAAAGAAAAACCAGCTTTCAAATTTGATATTGGCCAAAAAATTGATTTAGATTCAGAGGACCCTAAATCACCAGATCTCAAACAGAAGAAATGTCTTAGACAAAGTTCAGATACTCAATCATTTTTAGATATGCCTAGATTTTCTCCTAAAGAATTTGAAATTACAGTAACAACAGATGATGGAGCAACCACATCTGCTGATACGGATTTGAAACGAAAAGGCAAAAACTTGCGAAACTTAACGATCGATTTAACAAAGCGAGACAGTGATCTTGAAAAAGAATTGTTAGAATTCGAAAAGTTATATTCTGACGCCAACGAAAATAAGGTTCGTACTCCGACTTTGAAAATTAAAGCGACATCCTTAGATTCGTCAGATCCAGATCCAACATCAGCCCTTCCTAAGAAATCTTTAGAAGTCCCTCAAAATTCTATATCGGTTCCTAACACTCCGAAAAGGCAAATAAAACGCATCCTAGCCCAAAAAACTGTAAAGCATGATGTATCTGGGGCGAAATTCGGCTACAGCTCTCTACAGGGAAACGCCGAGCAGCGCAGATTGCTCATGAAAGGTCAAGATAGTGGTATCTTTTTGAGGGAGAATCATGCTAATCTAATGCTTTATCAACCGAGTACATCAAGAACTCGAACCATGGGCTCATTTGACGAAAACATGGTTGATATTTCCGTAGATGTTGATAAACCTGGCATACAGTTGGATACGGGACAGACTTTAGGTGCTAACTTATTAAACTACAAGCAGAATTTAAGTGTCTCCAGCACGAATTTAAAAACTCTTCCAGAAGGCGTACCTAGCGATGACTTCGAACCAAGTGCAGAAGATGAAAAATTAGCAAAGAAATTACACCGACGTAATTCTAATCAAAGCCTAAAGTTGAGCACACATAGCTTACAGAGCTCAAACTGTTCTCTCAGCAGTACTGGCACGTCATGTCATAACTTAGCAACAGTCCGAACAAGTCTATCTAACTTTAGTATCAACTCTGATGGCCGACAAAAGAAGTTATCACTCGAAAAGCGCGATTCCAACGTTTCAATAATTCCTATGGAGCACATTACACCCACAACTCGTGTTATTTGTTCCTCAAACACCAATTTAACCGGAGAAACTCAGAAAAATTGTCTACTTCAGCGTCGTGGATCTAACAACAGTCTTACCTTGAATATACAATCTAATAATCTCAGCCGACATTCAAGCAACAGTTCGTTAAACAAAGAAGCAAAAATCCAGAAGAAGGGACTGTTAGAACGACGAAGTTCAAATACGTCTCTAACTTTAAACATAAATAATTCTAACCCACAATTATCAACAAACCGCGCTTTGAGCATTTCTAACTATAACTTAAATGGGTCAACATGCAATTTGAGTAGATACAACAGTAACCATAGCATAGACAATCCGGAGCCTCGTAAAGGTATACTCGAAAGACGAAGTTCTAATACTTCTCTCACGCTAAATATTCAACCGCAGGAGCCTAGAGATTTGGAAATCGACGAATCGTTAATAGAAGCTAATTTGAAAGACTTACCACATCGAGATAAACACAGAAAGTCCTTAAGTACAGAGAATTTAATACCCAAATCATATAAAAATCGAATGAGAAGCTCCACAGATAAGAGCATTAGTTTTGGTTCTCATGACAATTTGTGGTCAGCTTCATATGACCCAGACTACCCTCAAAATTTAACTTTTGTGTGTGGAGATCAGGAAAACGAGATAATATATGCGTTCGGACGTCAGGAAGAACCGAATTTCCAAGCGAGTTTTGTCCGAAATATTACCACAAAACCGTTAAGTCCACAAAGTACCTCAGAGGATTTCAGACTTTATTTGGCGAACATGCAACACCTACAAAACGCCTCTAGTGTGCTATCGCGGCAACAGCTTAGAGATTTGAACGATGTTTTTCAAAATGGCTATTCAAAGGTCCGCTGCGGTGGTTCAAACGAAGGGCAACATTGTTGCTCCGGTCGAGTTGAAGATTTGTCCAAAGAAAACCCTCAAATGGCATTACCGGAACCTGTGGTAACTCAACCGTGTTCTGAGTACCAGAAAATGTTGTTGAGGAATCTCCATCAGGAATTTTGGGATATGCCAACAAATTTTCAGGAAAAACCAATTGTGTCTGGGTCACATCCAAAGAATAGGTATAAAACCATTTTACCTAATGAACATTCGAGGTTTATACTGCGGGCTGAATGTCGAGGAGTCGAAGGATATATCAATGCCAATTTTATAAAGGTATGTTAACCACTGTTATTATATGATGATGTTTGAAAAAATCAAGTTTATTTTAATCTAGTAAGAATTATGGCATTAAACAAACAACACTTCAAAATTTATGTTAGTTTGTATGCTGTCATACCAATTAACCGCATGATTTATGCTATTTATTATTTATTAAGTTTGCGAATCTGGGATAATCATCCCGCGCTCCTGTTTCAGACAACATCCTAAAACAATTTCTAATAAAAAAAAACTAATACGACTTTTTAAATTATTATTAATCAATAGCTTTTAATCGTTGAATTTTAGTAACATTACAATAAAGACAGATATTCTTTTATCAAAGCAATGATTACCCAATAAATAATTTTTCTAAATAATTTTGAAAATAATAACATTATTTAAATTTTACAGGGGCACGAGTATACCAAAAACAGTTATGTCGCTACTCAGGGTCCATTACCAAACACAATTTATGACTTTTGGTTAATGGTCCTACAGAACAACATCGATTTTCTCTCCCTAAGACCTAACTGTGGGCTGGTTATCCAAAAAATCGTCATGCTCACCAATTTCATAGAAAACAACAGACAAAAGTGTGAAAAGTACTTTCCATTAGAAATCAATGAGGACATAATTATAGAAAAGCCAGAGAGTCCTGATTGTGAAGATCCATTTATTTTTCGAATTAAAAACCTTGGTCTTGTCAAGAAAACTGGTTACACAATACGAAAACTTGATGTTCAATACTTAAAAAAGAAAATCGAAGATATAAGTTATACAAGTGATTGTGATAAAAGTGAAAGTGAGACAAGAGATATAGATAAAAGTGTAATAGTGTACCACTATTGGTTCCACAATTGGGCGGACCATAAGTGCCCAAAGGATGTTAATGCATTACTTAACTTAAGCTTAGACGTTTTACAAAATGAAATGTATGACTTTAACGTTAGCACTGACCTAAGTGATGAAGAAAAGTGTAAATGTGACAGTCTAACAAATCAACCCGACTCTAAATTCGTGTTTCCTCCCCTACAGTCACGTTCCCCTTGTCCTATAGAAATCAATGTCTCCGCCCCTTCGAACTTTTCTTCCGATACCCTCTCTCCTCCTATTGTAGTGCATTGTTCAGCTGGTATTGGTCGAACTGGCTGTTTGATAGCCATACTTAATGGAATAAAACAGCTTACTAATGAACAAAAAGTTGATGTTTTAGGAATAGTTTGTAATATGAGATTAAATAGAGGTGGTATGGTTCAAAATTCAGAGCAATATGAGCTTATACATAAAGTCTTGTGTTTATATGAGCAAGCTTGCTTGCCGGAGTTATAGCTTATGAAAGTATAATTTTCTACCTGTGTCAAAACTGCTAAATATTTTGTACCTTATCTTAAATTTGTAAGATGGCAGGTTGGTGTTGTCTATGAGCAGAGCTTGGTCATTTACAATTATTTTTGGGCATTAGATTAGGTAATAGTTATAATATTAAATACCTTTTGCACAAATCCTATATAATTTAAGTGACTTGTTGTATATTTTAGTTATAAAATGACATTACTATTATATTTATTCTGCTAGGTAGAAAATATATTGATGTTATTATTTATTTTATATTTTTTATAGTTATTAACATTTAGTCATTAATGTAAATAAATGTGTGTCTAATATATTGATGTATACATTAGTTATATAAAACATGCTTTGGTTGTGATTGGAGCTACTAAAACTTAGAATCCTATGCCAAGAGTACTGACTGATTTTTCATTCTTCCTTCGGAGGCAGACCCGGGTCAACTCTGAATATCATTAAAAATTTCCAACAATTGACTAAATAATTGGCATTCCCTAAAAAGTGTTGCGGTAATGTCGCAAACTGTATTACATGCTTCCGTGGTAGAAATATTTTTGATTCTATTGTAGATATTAGTATTCATATTAAAAGTCGGACTTTAAATTGGATGAGTCAACTGGACTAGATATAGTCAGTTGCTATTCTATTGTATCTTTAACAGATTAAAATTGTTTTTATAGTTTCCATTTCCAAATTAAACATCCTCATTTCAGAATAATTTAGAAAAAGCTGAAACAAGGGTCATCAAACATTAACTAAGCTAGGATAACTAGTGAAGTGAATACCTAACCACTAGTTCGATTTTATATTATATCGAATGAGAATAAAGTATTTTTGTTGTTATAGACAACACTATTACGTAGAGTTTGTCAACGTTCTAGTCATTTTGTGAGTGTTGACACTCTCAATTATTTATTTATGACCATACAACTCAAAATTGAAATAAAAGTGAAACTACAGTTAATCAAATCAAATTATGAAAAACTTAGTTAAAATGTGCTGAAAAAGATCCTGCACTCTTTATGTCACTTTAATTGGTATTATTATCTTTTTCCAAATTCTATAATTGGTATTACATACATAAGTTTTTACTCTATTTAATCACAACCAAATCACATGATTTTATAATGTACTGTTTTAATATAATTTAAACGCCCTAAATATGCAATATAGTACAAAGATTTTATATGTATAAACACTATCCTACACAAAGTGAAATTTTTATACCTTCTATATAGGCTAATTTGATAAATTAACAAAACAGATATATCAAACTCTTCTATACATATTAATATTTTCTTTTTGTACCTTTACTATTTTGTCACCTTAAAAATGTACCTCAGAATTTAAATTAGAATTGGTATAGATTAAGCCATTTTATGCACATTTTATAAGTTTATTTAAAATGAGAATAAAAAGTAGCTCATGTTCTTATTTAAATAATTTGTTTATTCGTTCGAAAATTTATTAAAACCGGTTGAGACGTAAGCGCTTTATGGGTGAGGTTCAGTAACGAGATTTAGCGCTAACTATGGTTCCCTTGTGTCAAAACTCAATACATTTTGATGTAAGGAAGTCAGACTTAGTGTTAAGTCTCTGAGTCTTACTCAATATTCTAATACTAGTAGTAATTGCTACGAGTCGTAAATTTTAGTCTTTTTCTATACGTGGCGCTTAGCTTTTAGCAGACATTACGAAGTGGTTAAGGACCGGCAACTCGACATCAATGTTTATATTACAAGTTAATTGTCTAGTAGAATCTTTTTATGTTTGTAAAATATCAACTATTATATTAAATATTTTTAAATTTATTTATATTTTATTTTGCACCTTTTTGTTGTAGCTTTATTAAGACATCAACTCTACTTTCCTATTGAGTATTTAAGATTGTTAGACCATGACGAAGTCCTTTGAGTTGGTTTGTTTGTGAACCGGATTCATTCAGACCTGTAGGGTGATTCTGTATCCGCTTTTAATTCACGTCATCTGCTATTGCATTATACCTGTAACTGAAATACATAACACATCAATAATTGATATATACACTGGAGATAACTACTAAAACCTTAAAATACACTCCGACATTGATGGATATACACTGGGTTATAATTTTACTAGTTCCTTTAGTTTATTGAATTTTTACGATTATTACTTTGAATGAGATTGATCAATTACGGTTATTGTTATTTATTAACTAAAAAGGCGAACATTATCCATGGTTTATTTTAGTTTAAGCATTACGCTAATTATTAGCCCTTCGCACACAAGGTATTAATTGAAATTCCGTATGATCATAAACAAGTGAGTTTGTTTTTTGTTAAGCATTCAACAGTTTACATATTTATAAAGTTTTATGACACCTTTTTTGGTAGGACAAAAATCCGAAGTTGCTTGAGAAATGGTTTTATTCCCCTTTAAATTTTTTTTGCGCTGCTATATTGTTAAAGTGTAATAAGCCGCATTAAAGATGAAGACTTGTCCGAGATAAGATATTTGTTATTTGCCCCTAACGATTTGGTTGTCGCTGGTAATAAAAATTCTCGTGTTCGGTAGCCTCTATACTGGAATTTACATAAAATTTTATCGACGCAGTTGTGAACATACATAACTTTTTACTATAATCATACCTAAAGGGTTCTTCGTAAGGTTATCTTTAGCTCATTCTTTTTTTTAACCAAAAAGTTTGTAATAACTTTTATTATAGGTATAAATAATTATGTATTTATATTGTGTAAATAAGTACAGGGTGTCTTAGTATTTGAAGTGAAACGTCACAACTTTAATAACATCGATTCAGGGTGGGCTTTTAATATCCGTGAAAGTTGAGGATTAGTTTTAGAGTACTTAAAATCCCATTTATGTTTTGCGACCCATGTATATGTTAACGCTTTCTGCAACATAGTGTCTTATAGCAGTGTCGATTATTTGAGACTAGATTCGACTTGACATGAAGTTGAGGATGTGTGGCGCGGTCGAAAGCGAAACACTGTTCGTCCAATGTTAAAAATTTTGTTTGTCTTCAATTCGATAAACTGAGACTAACGTTATTACTTATTAACCCTTTTTGTCGGATTACGAGACATAAATAGTGGGGTTTTTATTAAACTATCCGAAAGTAACCACTGAGCCGCAAGCACTTTTTTGCAGATCGCTTCATTGCATGAATTTATGTTATATTAGTCAACATGACAATAACTAACTAATTAAATAGTTAATATGTGAGTCAACAATACGATTAGCGCTTTAAATAAATCTATATATTCACCGGCTTCTAGAGGTTAATATTGAACGCATGTTTCTCAAAAGTTGTGTTAGCGGCTTGTATAAAATTTATTGTAATAGTGTGTATAAATAAAACTCACATAATTACTTATCAGTGTCTCAAAAAGTCTATTTTACTAGGGTACATTCCCCCCCTGGCGACATTCCCGCCAGGTTCGTCTTTAAATACCTAATCTAATTTTACATTTCAATATATTTGCATTATAAATGTGGCACAGATGCTCCAGAATTATTTTAAATACGTATTTCATACTAAAAGTTATTGTTAAGCCAAAACTGAATGTATTTTAATGCTCACATAAACGAGCGCGTAAGGTGGTAGCGGCGATCGAGGTGAGGGCAGACTTGCTTTACTCACAAACAATATGTCATCACGATAATTTAGGATAACACTGACCTCAATTAAGGCTGTGGGCATATGTTCAGGGGTCACAAGACCAGATCCGTGCTTTCATATAAAACGGATCCAAATATACTTAACAACTAAATGAAAACTTGTTTTGTTAATATAAGGACACTCTGTAATTATTTGTTAATAATGTAAGGATACAAGAACACCAAATTAGGGTAATATTAGTTTAATTTTCTAAAATATCTTAAATATAAATGTATAAATGTTTATAGATGTAATAAACGTTCCCTAATAAGGTATTTTTATTTTTAAAACTGTCCATATCTTCTCTCTCCTCTCCCAGTATAAATAAGCACTGAAGGCTTTGGTAAGGCATAGCGCGTTGATTCCAAAGACGTAGTTTTGGCATGAAAAAAAAAAACCGGTGGCGCTACAAATTTATAGGTCTAGACCAAAGATTTCTGTATCTGTTTTGTGATCATTTTTTTTTCTAATAGGCAAGTAGGTGCGTGGCACACGCCGTCAACTTTTTGGCTCTAAGTCATGGGGTTCTTCACGATGTTTTCCTTCACCGTGCGAGCGAGTTTAAATGCGCAAACAGATAGAAAGTCCATTGCACAGCCGGAGATCAATCCGATCTCAGGGATGAGAGTCGCACGCTCAAGCCACTGCAACTGGTCCAACAGTGTTAAGTTTCGGTATAATTTATTAATAATTTTGATTTACTGTTTTAATGTATTTTTAAACCTAAACATGACTGTTGGCTGACAAAATATAAAAACAGGGTAATTCTGGTAGGTAACTAGTTTTGTTACTACCTAAGTATATGTAAGTATGTATTTATATTGGCGATAAATCAGCTTAATTATAGTAATCTTGATAAAGTTTCACAAACGATATCTATTTATACATTCGGAACTCTAAGCATACTGCATAGTATGAATAAAATTAAAATCCAGGTTGCTTCCTGACGATGCGTTCATCTACCATAGTTAGACTTCTAATAAGGATGATTTATCGTACTTCCAGTAAAATTAAAATATTGGAAGGCACAGAAGATTGCTCACTTGTCTGTTAAGAGTCAAATAAAAGATTCAAGTCTCGTATTTTAAAAAATTATCTACATATAAAAAAGTCATCAAAGTTTTTTTGAGGTTTTAAAATGTTTTAGGCTTGTACAACAAGATTTAGTTTGGCAATACGACACGTTGACGGGCGCGTAAGGCGGTAGCGGCGATCAAAAATCATTGGAAGTGCGAGGAGAGAACAGATTTGCTTGACTAAAGGCCCATTTACACGATGCCATTTTCTTGCCTGTAGCATACAATTATATCAACGCAATAAATGA